TTTTTTCTTCCCTATTTCTTCTTCTTTTTTTCGGTCCCTTTTCGCTTCGGTGTTGGTTGGTCAGTCCCCTCGTTGTGCTCTGCACTCTCCAGATCCCGCCCCGTTCCCGCCATTCCCGCCTCTCCCGCATGGCCAAATCACCCTCGAAGCGAGTTCCTCCTCCTAGTAGGTCCCTGAAGCAAGGTAGTTCACAACAAAAAGCAAAGAGAAACCCATTGAGGTAAAAGACAAACGCAACAACCAGCTTCTTCCTTCAAGAGAGTTGCAAATTAAAACATCGCCATGCATTGCAATGCAAGAAACCAGAATTCAAAAGAAAGAAGGCTGCCGAGTCAAGGCACACGACTCACTCAACTACCTAAATCGTCCATCCTGCTCATGCTCGCTCGCATCTTCATCCGTTTGAAGGATTTCGCATAACGAAAATTAGTCTGCCCTCCACACCCCAGACAAGACGGACAATCCCACCTGCCCGGTTGCGGAGATGGTGGGAGGGCCCCTGGTTCCTGAACGTGGCTGCTCGGACGTAACCCCTGAAAGGGCGCCATGGCTTGGGGGGAAGAGAGGGGTACGGTTGGCCCGGATCTAGATTGCAATTGAAGAGACCAAAGACAAAGACCTCACCAATGAGCCCTCGTAAAAGTCACAATCACGGTGCATAACGGCCCCAGTGAGCGAGGCAAATGGCGAATGCAGCATACTTCAGTGTTGATAGTATTCTCTTGTAGATAGTCATAGCAAAAAGTCCTGGGTATCTTTCCTGCCTCCTTAATTCCTAGTAGCGAGAGGCGCCGCCGTCCCTGAATACCCAAGAACTCATCATCCTTTGCCGTCGTGATAAAGTTGAGAGAAAGAGAAAGAAGAACAAATGAGATGGTGCATCATTGAAAGAATAAAACGATTCAAGCCCTCCAGAGCAGCACGCTCGGAGCGGCGATTAAACAATATACCCGAATAAGAAGCGACACAACTCTCATTCCACCTTTGTCGTCATCATGTGCTTGATCGTCCATACGCTGAATGGGACTCCACCGATGAATGGGCGTCTGCCGAATGGGTTCGGGTGTTGGCCAGCTCCGTCATACTCTCCGAGTCCATGCCCTTTGATCTGTTTCCTGGCCTGAAACTGGCGATGCCTCGGCTGTGGCGTTTGTTGGTTTCCTCTTGCGGCTCCGCTCCTCCCACCAGCTCCATCACCTCCGGCCGTTTGCCAGTCTTGATATCGTCCCAAAAGCTCTTGCATGCTTCCCATGATGTTACGGCGTAAATGGCAGCGTTCCAGAATCCTTGCAGTGGAAGCACAAAGGCACTCATGGTCTCAAGGGGAGCGTTGATCTCTTGGGCCTTGACGACGGAGTAGACTCGGTTGGCGCTCGATGGGATCCACGTAACGAGCAGCGCCGTGAAGAAGAGAAGCGAACACTTTGCGTAAGCCCATGCTGCGTTGTTGATTTCGTAGTTTCGTCGTCGTGCCGTCGGCTCCTTCTTCCTCCCCAATCTCGACTTCTTGGCCGTCTCTGTGACGACGGGTCTGACGGGTTCAATCTTGTCGCCCGCGGCGGGCGCGCTGGCTGAGATGTGCACGGAGTAGTTGGCATCCGGATCGGAAATGGAGGGAGCGGCATGTGTGCGGAAGTCTGTAGGGTTCTGCGGCATGGCCTCTGACGTCGTAACCGTCACCTCGGTTGTCCTGAGCGTGGTGATGACGTCGATGGAAGACAGGCCTTCGGAGGAGTGAAAGTCGTTGAGCTGCTTGTGCTTCTCATAGATGGTTCGTCCGGCTCGAATGTAGATGAAAAAGGTGGCAAAGATGACGACCCTACACTCGCATCAATACACTTATCCCAACCCATAATCCCTGTTGCTTCAGACCGGGAGAACTCACCAGACGGGGCCGTAAAATGTGGCAATACGGAAAACATCCCACTCAGTTGTAATCCAGCACCAGAGGGTAGCATCGCCGTAAGCTCGAAAGCCGTCTTTGTTCTTGAGGAAAATGTATACAAACGCAGGAATGAAGGGAATGCCGTAGCAGCATAAGAGATAGGGAATCTCCATTCGCCGCAGCTTTCTCGCGTCATACTTGTGATAGAAGGTCAGATAGACGTTGAACGCCATGGCCAGTGTCCAGAATGCATCTGCAGGCATGAACCTGTGAGCAGTTAGTCAAGTGCGTCGTAATGAGCAAGCGAGCGTTGCGTGAGAGGTGCCTACATCTGAATGAGGAACCCTTGCAATTGGCAGGCGGGAGAGTGCGGCTGGCTGATAAAGCTTCTGGACATGAGTGTGCCCACATTCGTCATCATGTTGCCGAATGAAGCATAAAACACCAGTCTGTTGATGGGCTTGTGGAACGAGCTCGAGGCGCAGAATGTTATAATGATGAAGACACATCCGATGAGCGAAACCACTGAGCAGCCTCGCTCGATATTGCTGATGGTCTCCAGCTGGCCTGCGGTGAGGGTCCCCATCTTGGGCAGTCGTCGTTATCCGGCGATTCGAGTTTCAAGTAGTATGTATCATCGACGGTGAAGGGGGCAACTGAAGCCTCGAGTCGATGGGGGAAAAGACGTGCCGGCAGCTCCGGTCCTCGTCGTTGAGTTAGGAGGACAGTTGGTTCCCAGTGGAAAAGAATACGGCCCGTCCCTAGCAAGGCTCTCCAGAGGGGAAATCTGATAGTGTTATATGTGCAGTAATGGATTGGGGGAGAACTGAATCAGGGCTTGGCTGCTGGTGCGTACCAGGACGTCCAACAGCGTGGGCAGGGGTCGATGAAGAGGGTGCGCAAGAGAGCGGCAGCACTACCAGTAGTGCCGAATTGCAAATTTGCGAACCATAACAGGGCTGGACAGCGAGGGAAGGGTTAACATCAAATATGGAGCAGCATGGCAGCGAACTTCCGTCCTAATGCTAGCAAGCCAGCCCTCTTAATGTAGTATCTGATCGACGCAGTAGACCTGCTTCGTCGCCGCAACCACACGGACCGTGTTCCGGAGCCAGAAGGGCGACCGCTCGAAGATGGCACGCGAGTACGTAGTACTGTAGTAGCACTACTCCGTAGTAACGTCGAAAAACAGCTAGGTGCCCATGTCTCAGGTTGTCTGTCACCAGGGTGCCTGAGTGTTTGAACGGTTGGGGCGTCGAGTATAACGGGGCACCATGTAGACGCAAGCCGTCTCTGCTGCTGTGATACGACGCGGCGAACAGGTCCAAGATGCTTCTGAGTGGGCATGGCAAGTCCACGGTTGGAAGCCTAACGACATCGTGGCTAGACTAGGGACCGGGGGGGAAGGACGAGACGACGAAACCAAATCAACAGCAGCCGTATGGGGGAGCATCGTTGGAGGGCCGGAGATTGAGTCCAGTATCATGCATAGTGTGGGTGGATTGGGTCGGTGGGCGGCCGGTGGAGATGCGATATAGCCATGCAGAAGCGAGGTACAGGCAGGGCCGTTCGACTGCATTGATACCAGCTCGGACGGCATCGTTTAGCCCGTGAACCATGTCCCGTTGGTCGGCGAACTTGCGAAATATACCTACAAACGTGGCAAAGCGTTTGACCTTGGACCGACATGGAACATTACTAGAGGTTCGCTGTGTGCTTGAGCCCTTCATCAAGACCAGCTTGTCAGGGGCAGTCTGTCCTTGGCATCGAAGAATTGACATGTACTAGCCCCGTTACCAATCGTTTCGGGGTCGTCCTCATGTGCCCGGCATCTGGGGAATTCATGACAGCAGCAGTATGAGGCACGGAAGTATGACGGAGAGCGTCTTACTTCGTTTGCCACAAACTGGCATATTATAAAACACGGCATTGGGGCGCTTGAATAGTGTATTGCACAAGACGTAAGCAAGGATCGTCAAAGGAAAACGCCAGAAGACCGGTTTCTTGGGCCTTCGTCTCATGTCCAGGAAGCGTGCTACTACTAGCAAGTTTGCCCGCGCGGGAGCGCATTTCGTTTGACCGTCTGCGTACGGAGTGCGGACTGCAACTCTGGACAGAAGCCGTGCTGGGGCCAAGGTGTCTTCGGGAAGCCCCCCCCATACGGCCCAATGGCTGGGGCTCGGGCTAGCGTGGCTGCAGAGTCATAAACCCTGAATGCAGGGAATAAAGCATCCGGGATTCGACTCCACAGGCTCGAGGTACGAGCAGTTTCGTGTAGGGCTAGCTGGTGCCTAGTTGACGAGAGCATCCCTTGAGTGACGATATCAGAGTCCCCCGTTTGGTGTTGATCTGCGAGGCGATGCGGAGGTGCAAATGTCTGTGCCAAGTGAGCGTTCCTCGTATGCAGCTAGACAGCGACAGAGAGAAGTTATGGACTAGGTTCATGATAACGCCGTGGAAGCCGCAAGCCAACCCCGATTCATCAAAGCGATTAGACAGTTTTGTCATCATGTGCAGAAGAGGGTCGATCCGTTCTAATGAGGCCAACTGATCACTTGAACATGGGCTCCACGATACCAAGCCGCGGGGTAAGGCGCGGCCAAGGCTATTGGAATCGCCACCAGATGCTCATCTCACGGTGATCGAATCTTGCCAAGAGAGGCAGCTGTTCCAGAAGGTGAAGAACATCGTGATGCAATCTGTTTGCTCCGGAGTTCTGGCGATTGACGGCGGGCCAGGACTCTGTACCTGCAGGAAATAGTAATACTATATCATGCCATGTGCGGCAGCCCAGCAATTGTTGACCGTTTGTGTTTGTCTGTCTGCACCTGCATGTCAGCGCTACTAGCCCCAGAAGGGTCCAATGACGGAGCGCCAGCGACGACTCCATTTGCCTCTTGCTTGTCCTCTGAAATCTCTTCTTCTCGTTTCTGCAAACTTGTAAGACAAACGTGCGGTTGGGCTCTCGCGGTGAGCGCAGCTAGCCGCCCGCAGCGGGTCGGAGCAAAAGGCCTTGGACTGGACCGGGCTGGTCGGGGTCAATTCAGCCTAAGAACATCGAAAACTCCATTGACATCTGCCGCTGACTGAGCTAGAGCTGTCAACCGCGACTAGCGGAAAGAGCAAGATTGCGGTGTCTTGGTTTAGTTGGGGGATCTGGGATGAAGCAATAGCGTGGTGAGGAGAGAAGGGGAGAGAGGAGGAGAGGAGATGAGATGAGGAGGGACAGGTTGGACAGATTGGGCTGCTGCTCTGTCGTCGATGACCAATTCTCTGTTTGGTGCTGTTCCTGGCTCTCGGACCGTCTGTGGCCCCGTGCCTTCCCCCAGCTGCTCCCCTTTCTTCACCGGGCGGGCGCCTCGCCAGCACACCGTACCTGCATCTCTGCAGCAGTACCTGCGGTGCGATAGCCTACCAGGCCCTCTGCAGCGGATGGCACTAACACGACCCCTGTACCCGCACGTCGTCATGATCCATGCTTGCCATGTTTGCGGCCTGCAATCCATCATCAAACGCTGCATCTTGGCCGGAGAAGCCAGTGCCGGCCAGGCGACAATCAGTGCCGCGACAGCTCGAGGGCCGCCATCGACTAAATTGCCGACGATCCAATGCTGCGGCTGCAGCAAATCAGGCGAGCGCAATAACGCCAGCCGCGGCCGTTTGGGAGATTCGCTGCCCCCGATCAGCGCCTCTCCAGCCAAACGAGGCAGCGTCGGCCATGCTAGCCCGGCGAGATCCTTGAAGCCAGGATCGATGAAGAATCTCCTAGATCCGACCTTTCAACCGTCTGGGCCGTATATTAGATGCCATTGAAGCGACGAACGGGCTGCCCCACACGCGCATTTCCCATTCGAGGCCAGCATCACCAGGTCAGGGAAGCTTCGAAAAGGCCGACAAAAGGGGCTCGCCGTTGATGGACCAGTCAAGGCCGATGCCTCCATACCGCCAGTTGACGGCTTCCAACGGACTGCTGCAGGTACTCGAGGCAGCTGAGGTACGGGGGTTTGCCACGGGTTCGCCACTGATGCTCTCTTCCTTTCCAAATTTGCATTGAGCTTGGCTTGGATTGGTAACACGGCAGCGAGTCATGCCGCCCCTCTGCGAAAGCATCAAGAGTCATGCCTGGTGGGACTGCGCCGCGCCGCGATTGCTCTTTGGTATCACCGGCCGGCGGCCGCACGGGACGGCATGGACGAAATTTTCAACGGGACTCTCTCCTTACCCATTCCCGTCTTACGCGGCGGGAACACCGTATTAACATGTGGCCTCGCGAGGCTGGGGCACGGATGCCAAAGCACGGAGCGCACGGCCATTCTGCAGACAGACAAGGTTTCGACATCACGCTGCCAGGACGGCATGACGGATACCAAGGTAGGCGAGTGCGAGGCGCCATCAGACGACGACTCGGTAGTTCATTCGACGGCTATCGAGTCCTCCACCTCGATTGCTACTGGAATTGCTGTCGATCATGTCGCGGCTCCTAAAACTCTCCCATGTCAGCCTTGCCTGGAATCTTGGCATATCGCAACCGAACCTCCAAAAGGAGAGCCAAGCATCTGTTTCAAGACGGTGTTTTCTCGGAGGCACTCTCTCACTCTCTTGGTCATCCTAGGTCAACTCCTGTTGCTATGGAGCAGTTCGTATGCATCTGTGGATACAAGCTTCTCGACGCCCTTAGGGCAACTTTAGCCTTGGAAAGCTCCGAAGCTATTGTATCGTTAGACAACCATAGCTCCAGGTTTCAGACTCGGCCGCCCTTGATTCGACGACATGGTCGGTGAGCGAAAGCACGTTGCGTCTCGCTGATCGTTTCTGAAGGCTATCTTCGACAATCGTCGTTTTGCAAGGCTGGTGCGCATTGAGCTGCTCGAGCTCTTGGAAACCTGAATATGACTGTCCTTTGTGGGAATCGCGGCCAGTCTTGCTTCTTCAAGCAAGGCTGCTCCGTTAAGTCGAAACCTGCGCACACGGTTATCTCCTGCTACCATGCCTCTGCCATGCCTGGTCTTTGGAGTTTCAAGACCTTGCTCAGATCAAAAGAGGGGTTCTCGACGAGTCGTTGTTGATTACATTGCATCACAATGCTGCATGCTCTAACGAAATGACCCGAGTCTCCAAGTTGTTGCGACGCGGTAGTATCGACAATCAGCCCGAACGTCTCTCGACGCCGCTGGCGATACGCCGTGAGGGGCTCATGGACACCGAGTAACACGGCAGTCTTCTTACTTGCATTGTTCCAACATCGCTGCGGCTAGGCACGGCGAACCGGCTTCCGACACCAAGATGCTAACACGACTCAAGCATGCCCAAAGAGGTCAAATTCAGAGAGCTCGTGAGGGGACATTTACGTTCTAACGGGCGCCCGACGCCTTTGGCTACTGCTAAATTAAGCAACTCCAATAGTTGCTTCCATATTGGCCCCTCAGTAGGCCATCCGCTCGTCCGCCTACCAATCTGCTTGGGCGACGATGAAATTTGCGACAGTCTGAGAAGACATTTTCTTCAAATGGAACATGGCAAGTGCAAGTTCTTGATGGTCAACATTGCAGTCTGTGCTCTCTCGTAATTATCCCTTACATCCCTGCCTCAGGGGTAGAGACATTGCATTGACTGCTACCCCGGAACTCGCTCGTCATGGTTGCAGTCGTCTGGCATTGAACCCATAAATGACTGAAGGCAGATGAATGGAGGGTCCGAGGAGATGCGAGAGACGTAAACGAGCTTCAGGCTCGAAAGGGAAGAGACAAGAAGTGGGGGAGTATGGAAGTGAGGTCAAGATGCCTCTATGCCCATTTCTGCTACTGTTGCGGTTCCAATACGTGCAGGCGTGTGTTCTACTAAAGCATCAGAAGGACTAAGTCGTAGCAATGGAAGGCTCTTTGCTCTTCGTGAACTGCTTCTTCCCTGCTCCTGAGCAGGAGATATGGCGGTGTATACTTAGCCGCAAGGGCTTAACGGGGTTTGAATTCTGTAAGAGAATTTCCTGAACTTTCTTAACCTTTTCGACTTGTTACCAGACTATTGAAGCAGGCCAGTCAAGATATACCCTATATCATCCTCGAAGCGTCCAGAATAAATTGGTGATCTTGACCTTGCAGTGCTTCGACTCTTCTTCACACGAGACGAGACTGCATGCACAGCAGCTCGCCTGGACGACGGATATGTATACAGACAGCTGACCGAAGACGCAACGAATGCCTTCGCACACTGAACCATGCGTATCTAGCAGTATGCTGCTGTAAAACAGCCGTTTGGAACCTGTCGCGGTAAGGGAAAAACCAGACATTTGCCATCGAGCCCCCAGCGGGGACAAATCCAGCCGCACATTTGGTTGCGACGATGAACAAAATGGCCCGTATTTCTTATGGCGCCTAGGTGGCTCGGATAGTGAGATGATTATATACATCAAGTCCTTCACGGATCGAGGTTTTGATGTGATTTTTGAAGGCGTGCAATATGCATATGTAACGACTTCTGATGGAAAATATCAAAAACATCTGGGCATATCCTTTGATATCTATACTATACTATTCTGAAGCGGAGGAGTTGGTATATCACTCCCCAACATGACTTACCAAAATGACCGCGTGTTGTTCGATTATTCTCCTCATCGTATCGCCGCCATGCTAATAAACAAGAACAAGCAGAAGGTCAGTCACATCCCGAAAAGGGCATATTGGTCCAACAGGGCATTCATTATATTCCTTGCCGGCTCATCGCTTATCAGCTCCGCGTCCCAATCAGTGAATTCAACTTTTGAAAAGATAAATCAACGTCTGTTATTTCCCAAAATAGTCCATTAAAGTAATGCGTCTGATGTAGTTGCAGCTCAAGATTCACTTCTGAGCCTTGGTAACTCGCCGAGCATCCTGGGCGTTGGACGCCTTGAAGAGACTGAACTTAACCCCGTATCCGGCATACGCAAACTCGCGCAGCTGTCCCGCTCCTCATTATTCTGCAGTCTCACAAGTCCAGCGGTCTCATCGATCTGGTTTGCCTGTGCTATCCTATGTATTGCCCCCATTGCTGTTGACACTCTTTCGTCGTTGCAGCATGAGGCCTATATAAACTCATTATACACCCTCGTAACACGCTTAAAACTCTTGGCATAGCGCTGAGGAAGAGTCAAGGTTCGCATATCTGCTCTTTCACATTTACCTCTGTGTTTCATTGAGTGTAAGTAAATAGAAGATGCAGATGTAGGCATATATCGAACCTCTTCAATGACATTGACCTACCCCATAGCTCATACCTATTTTCGCCTTCAGAAGAGAACATCAGCAACCTCTGTGTTCTTTCTCTTCATAGTCATTATAAAAAGGGATGCTCCTGAGAGTGCCATTGTAGGATCAAGCTGCCCTTGCTGATGGAGCCTGGAGAAAGAATTACGCATGTGAAAGTCGAGTTCTTCTGCCCATCCAATCCGCATCAGCATTTTCCAACATCAAGACTTGGGGAAGAACCTGGATGAACTCTCACGGAAGCGAGTACAAGCAAGACCTAGTGATATTCTTATCATTAGCAGCACCTTATATGATAAACCACTTCCGCCATCCTCTTCTCCGCAAGTGTGTTCTCCTGTAATCGTGCTTACCTAGGTAATACAGCATACACCCACTCCTCAACACAAGCGAGTAACAGCCAGATAATAACTATGCCTTCTCATTAGAACCCAAATATACCAATGAAGTCAGAAAAATCTCAAGTTGCAAAGCTACCCTTAAAAACTAGGTATCTAAGGAACTGAATGCAGAGCTCTCATTCGGGGCATTGGTCCAGCACCACCTCATAGTTGATCTCGTACAAACACCACTTGAAACTGAATATTGCCTCATAGTAGACTGCTACCCAGGTAGTTTACTTGGAACATTAGAATGTCATTTGTATACTCACCCTGCTTGCAACGGATCGGTTCCGCCCGCTTCATCGCAGTAATTCTTCTCCTATAGCATAGAATTATCTGAGCTTGAACCATCAAGATGAAAGCAATACTCCCTCAACCATTCCCCAACCATCACCATCCCACCAATACCCTGTGTCAAATCGAGCCTGTCATTTTCCCAATTCCCCCAGCTCACCCGTCATCCAATACCTCCCCCACAGTACAAGCGCATCTACGTAGCTTGATGTACGCCGGGCCTACGCCAGCAGGCCGCCTCGCTCACCACTCGACAGCTGGCATCAGCTCGCTATAAAGCAAGCCTGCTGAACGATGCGCTGGCTATTTAGTAGTCATACGCGCTACTTCACTTATGCAACGCCAGATCCCAATCCTAACCACCTTTGGCACTCCATACCTATGCACGTCAGCCCATCTCTGCACCTCATCCGCCCTGTACAAAGACACAAATGCTCCAGACGCTACTACCGTGAGCATGGAATGATTCCGTCTCCTGTCGGAGCCGCTCGGCTCTCTCTCACATCTGTGTGACGTGAACATGTGAATGCAGCCGCCGGCTTACTTGCTTTGTGACAAGTCTCCGTTACACAAGCAATGTCTGGCTTCATAGTGGCGTCAATGTGATTGTGACAGATCGCATGTCGGTTATGAGTTCTCGCATCTGCTTCTCGATAAGCCGCCTCAGTAAAACGGCCGCCGGGACTCAACAGAGCTCTAGTCAGCCGCCGGAGGCGTGACATCAAAAGACATACGTGCGCGCAATCGAAGCACCATCTTGGTCCTCGAGTCTGCGCAAGCCTTGCCGAGAACAGGCACATGTATGTGCTCGAAGCAGCAAAATGAGCGAGATTCCCCTCCCCTGCCCTGTTTCCACCAAGATCACCCATCGCCGTAACAAGAAGGGAAGTAAAAGAAAGGGCTTCCCGTCTCAGCAGTTCTCGCATGCAGCGCTCATGCACGGCTTTAATGGCACCACGTAGGGTCGCAAAGGCGCATCACTTGCATTGCGACTATGCGGCTTGCGGACAAGAGTGCATGTGCCCTAAGCTCGATGCGAGCCGTTACGCACCAACAGCCCGAGGACCGAGAGAGCATCTGCATATCCCGTGAATGAACCTGATGCGACCTTCTGCAACCTTCTGCGGCCACAGGACTAGCTTCAACACCATGTTGGCCCTCGAGTACCTGTACTTTGCGCCAGATACTGCTCCACAGCTGCGCGTCAAAGATGAGAAGCTTGTCTCACCACGGCGTCGAGAGGTGGGGAAACGGAGGCTCCATAGAGTTGAGGGCGAGGCTCGGTCCGGTTCGGCTTCACGGGAGTTGATTCTCGTTAGAGCCACAATGTTGGCGATAAGGGGATGATCATGTATAGTAGATACTAATATGAGGAGTCAAAAGAGCATCACCCGGTTGCCCGGCTTTTATTTGCGACCGTGTGTTATGAGAAGAGAAAGGGAGAGAGACATTGATGATAGAATAGGTTGAACAGGCTGGGGATTGAGAAGCGCAGAAAGAAGCAGAGAGCATATCGAATAGCTAACAGTCAACATACCGAAGAACAAGCCAAAAAAAAGGGGGGGAAACAAGACAACCTTGCTCGGGCACAGAGCCACCCCTTGTAAGGATTCAATACGCGTCAAAGTCGTTGATGCGAAAGACAAGACAGGAGTGAAACGAAGAATAGCACGCAAGGAAAACAGACAGAGGGCTGGGAGTCAGAGAAAGAAAACAGAGGAAACGAAGGGGAAAAGCAAGGGGAGAAGGACAAAGGGGGAAGGGGGTATCACTTTATTGCCTCCATCTAAAGCTCCTAGCAAAAAGCGCTGGAGCGTGCAAAAGGCCGACCCAAAGTGTGTTTCCATCTATCCAATCCAGAAACGAAAACAAGGGGGAAATTGCTTCACCGTGTCTTGAACATCTTGCCTAAACACCAAATCGCGAAGGGAAAAATCAAAAGGCCACTCCCAAGCATAATCTGTAAATCAACTTAGCCGCCGCTTTTGAACAAAAGAAACTTCACAATACCGCCACAAAATCGAATCAAACAAGTCAAGTGGGGGGAAATGAAAGGGAGAAATGGTAGGAAACTCTTAGCAGCTTCAGCCATATTCGGTCATGGCATCGCTATTGTCCACGGGCTCATGTTTTTGATAGATGTGCCGGGGACCGCCGTCGGATGCTGCCCGCGAGAGCTGCAGCAGCGATCCTTGGCGAGAGGAATAGTCCGAATTGTCGCTGGTGATGGGCTTGAAGAAGCCATCCGTCAGCGACATGGTGCTGTCGCGCCACCAGTAATGCATCACATCGCATTGCCAGCGCCACATATCTCGAATCTTCAAAGACCGGCTGGCCTGGAAGGTGGATCGCAGCAGCACAGCGTTGAGGGGAGACAGCCGCAGCTGGTGAAGAAGCCATCGATTCACATAATCAGCCTTCTTCCCACCGTCGCAGTCCCGCATGAGGTTGTCAATGGCATACTCCTTGGAAGCCAGTCTCTTCCTCACACCCTTGTCTGGATGGTGGTTCGGGAGTCGAATGGCTGCTTTGAGCGCACCCAGCGGGGTGAGCGGCTCATCAGCTAGCACATGGTCTGGCTGGGAAAGTAATTCGTTGAACTCGGCATGGCCCAGTGTCTTGCGGCTGCTCAGAATCGTATGCTCGTCGTCCAGATCCAGATCCTCGTATTTGACCTGCGGATTTAGCGCATATTCCATCTTGATGGACATGTGCTTCTTCATGACTCCCTTCTCCTCGCACATCTTCCGGAGTTGATCGACCCGAGCTTCTAGGCTGACCACCACGCCATGCATCCGTAGCTCTTCGGACGGAAACTCGTCAAAGAACTCCTTCATGTCCGATTCGTCCGAGGCCTTCTGGTTGGTGGTCTTCTTCAACTGCTGTTCTTCCTCGTATTGTTCTCGAGTAGAGAGCAGGTCTGCATATTCGTCGCGGGCGTTCCCTAGGTAGCCCACCGCTGATGTCAAGTCGACATACAGCGGATGGGGATCTTCAGCAGGGCCGAACGGAGAAATGCCCCTGAGCTCGTACGGTATCTCTGCCTGGTCAATGTTGAATCTGGCAGCGCCAGAATCGCTGAAAACGTCTGGCTGGCGCTCCTCTTTGGTTTGCTCAGCCGCCAGGATGCTAAAGAAGCGAGTCTCAAGGATGCTCAGGTCACGTTCTTCTTCGTCCAGCATGGCCTCCAGAGCCTCATAGTTGGACTCCAAAACTTGATAATCATCTCTCAGCTGCTGCATTTTCTCGAGGCGCAACTGCAACAGCTCTGTAGGGGCTTGGAACGGCTCTCCTTGACTGATCAGCACAGGCCTGACGACACTCATGAACGTGTTGTCGGCGGCATCCTTCTCGCGTCTCTTTTCCCGTAGCTCTTTTCTCCTCGACCGCATCTCGGCCCGCGTGCCGCTCAGCTTAGCCCGCTTTTCTTTCAGTTGCTGCCATAGCGTCTCTATTTCGCCGTGCGATGAGTCGTTGGATTGCACGGAGCCCTCCAGGTGGGACTCCGTGTCGGTAGGATGCAGAACTGCAGAAATGTCACCTAATCTCGATCGAGATCTCGTTGGACTCCTTGACTTTTCGTATTGCGATACCCATGCTGTGATTTGGTTGGCTGCTGACGATCTGCTCTGCCGGCCTAACGAACCAAAGGACCGACCAGCCGGCAGCTGTGGCGGAAATTGCCGAGCATTACGGTAGGCGATTGGGTCTTCATTGGATGAGGAAGAAGAGGACGAAGAGCTCCATGTCTCGTCATCTCCAGGTCTAGTCAATGTGAAAGTCAGTGCTTCATCTTCAGGGCTATTGCTGCGGCGACGACCCGACCGTCCCGAGTTCCGTCTGCCTCGAGAGGGTCGCGGCCGCACGTAATTGCTGACTGAAAAGCCGGAAGCAGACTGGACCAGATGTTGCGTGCTGAGTGACGCTCGTGAAACTAGAGAAGATGGTGATGGGAGTGTCTGGTCAGCTAGGCTTAGATCCGGTCCGCTTGTCGTTGGAAGACTAGAAAAGAAAGATGAAGATGTTAGAGGAGGCGAGTTGAGTGGTGGTGGAGGCGGAGGCGGCGGATGAGGAGGGACACCACGATGTCGAGCTCTGTGGCCATCATCGGTACTGCCCATTCCGGAGAGCAATGGAAAGGACGGTGACGCCTGAGCCATGCCGGTAATGCGAGGAGACGACGGAAGTTGAGATGGGTCTTGTCGAGATAAAACCGGGCTCGGGTGATGGTATCCGGCAGCGCCGCTCAGGCTCCTCGGCACAAGTCGACTTACTCCCCTTGCTCCGCCACGGCCTCTTCCACGGCCCCATTCCGCACCTCGCCGCGAAGGCGGAGGAAGAGCCGGGGGGAGGAGAGGAAGCGGAGAGAAGACATCGGAGGTCCTGCCGGGGAGAGGCGTCCGACTGCCAGCCGAGGCAAAGGGGGTCAGCGGTGGGCTAGACACGATGGGATCAGGCGTGGTGACCCTGCTAGATATCGTAGACGTGTCGCTATGGAGCCGCCAGCGATCGCTCTCCCTAAAGTCCTCGTCCTCGTGGGATGATGGTGCGGCGGCGGGGACAAAGGAGGCGGGCGTCACGTCCATACGGCCGTCCATGTTGTCGCTGGCGGGATCGCCCACAGGTGGGATGCGTGGGCTGACCCGTCCTTGGCCTTCGGCGGCGTCCATGGAGGCGGCTCGAGGATGCTGGCAGCGGCTCAAGGCTCAGCATTGCCGCTCGTTGATCATCCTTCCGGGTCGATGTCATCCAAAGTCGCGGAGGCGCGGTGGTTGGGCAGCGGGAAGCGGTGCAGATGCGAGAGGTGCCGGATCGAAGCCACACGAGGCTCTGCAGATCTAGAGGCGAGAGGTAGCGGGTCTGACGCGGCTCCGATTCGTGCATCCAGCAAGAATCTGCGTGCGAATGGCGACGGAGCGTGTGCGAGTACGATAGGAGTGATCAGGCTTGCTTGTCGCCTTGCGGCCACATGCTGTAGGAGTGAGTGAGACGGACGGACGAGTGTGTCTGATGTCGGCTGTCTCTGTCGTGAACATGAAGCAAGACAAAACGTGGGCCGCCTGCGTTCCGTCTGTGTCCGTGTACAAGTACCAGACAGTAACAGCCCAGACCAAACAGCTGCCCATAGCGCCAGCCAGCCACATGGCCCAGCGCGGCAGCGGTTGGCTGAAGCCCCCGTGGCCGCTGGAGCCAGCACTGGAGCACTCAACTGTCGTCGACGCCTGCCCGGACCGCTAGAGGCGCTGCAGCGTATCAGAGCACCGCCCACGGCCTGGTAGCACGAACACCAGCCCGCCCGCGCTCTTCCGCTAGCCCTACAGCGCCACAGCGCCGTGCGGCCACTAACGACGGTGCTCGCAAGCGCTACAGCGCCTAGCCAGGGCTCCACCGCACGGGACGGTTGACGCCAGCGAGCACTGTGCTGGGGTAAGGGCGGGGCCTTCCGTCCCTAGCGGCGTCAAGCGGCCTGCACCAGCCCCAGGTGGGCATGTCACTCTACCTCGACATCATCACATCACCCTCGACCCGCATGCGGGAAAATACGACCAGTCCCTTCTCCAGCAAGCAGTGCAGCTGGCGACAATGCCAGATACGAGCGCCGCAAAACCACCTGGTCGTCGCTCAGCGCTGGGGCTCCTGCGGCCGAGCCACCTGACAGGGCCTTGAGCCGAAGGGCTGCAGGACGAGGTGCATGGCGGAGATGGTCGATTGTGGCGACGGCTTGGCTGCGACTAGATTCGCCCTGGCTGCTGCGATTGACTCGGCTCGTTCTGTCCTGCATGGCTGGTCCGTCACTACTCACCCACGGCGAAGCTATCGATGTGCTTGGCTCGTATGAAGGACGAGTGCGGCATGTACAAGGCGACAAGGCAGTTCTTGAAGGCGGCGCGCTGACACCCGGCGTTGGCTTGGCCTTGCTTGAGACGCAGACGAGACAGAGACAGAGACAGAGGGACGCAGCTCTATCAGGGTCCTCGCAGTCGCACAGCACAACGAGCACAAGGCCGCACACCACCTCCAAATCGGGGCCGCCTCGACGGGCCTCAGCGATCGTCCCATAGCGCAATGCGGCCACTTGCCAACGTCAGGATGCGGTGTTGCGCGCAGAGGAGCAGCCCATTAGCCGGAGGGACCCTGGTCTGCGCAGTCGACGGCCGGCATGCGGCATTGCCCATTCTCTTTCGTCCCGTTCCTACAGGAGGTATACAGTGGCTACATACAATACAGTGGCTGCAGAGACGCCACGCCACGGCCATGGCCTTGATCTGCCCGGCGGCGGCAGCTCGAGGCCATGGAGCTGTAGCTAAACAAGCGCCCAGCGATGCATGCCAGATGTCTCCATAATCCTAATCCGCCAGCGCCGCAGCTTGCTTTGCTACTAGCAGCAGCAGCAGCTCGCGGCAATCCACTCACTCTACCTTGCAGCACCACCCATTACTGTACATGTGCAGTCAAGCCAGCAGGCCCGGGGAGCATTCGGGCCAGGAAGCAGGTGGACGACCCACGGAGGCTCGCGCCAATCTGGGGCCATAGGAACGGGCCCAAACATTCCCCTCCCGCCCGCCGCTGTTTATCATCTCGCGCTGGAGCTGCTGGAGAGCTGCTTTTCCCTCTGCCTGCTGCTTTTCGCCGCTGCTGCTACTGCTCCTGCTCCTGCTCGCAATCATCCTTGAAAGGCCTAGGAGTCCTCATTGCGCCCGGCCTGCAAGCCCGTCTCCCTCCTCCTGCGACAAGAGGTGCCTTTGCGCTGGTGCTCATACTATTCGGGCGTCCCCCGGTCCCTTGCGCCGTCCAGCACCATCGCCGGATGATCCTGTAGCCTCTCCCGCGCTGCTCTGGGCGCAAAATGCCACAATGTACCACGGCTCCAAGTCAAAATCCCATCAATGGGGCAGCTGGTCCGACTGGGTTCTGGACGAGCAGCACCGCCGCTACTATCGCTTTCGCCAGGATTCCGAAGGTGTGAAGATCCTCCCCGCGCTTGACCTTTTCTCATCACCGCCAACACCTGAGCGTGCTGCTTGCTAGGGAATTACGACTATGACTGGGACCAGCGCGACTCGGCCGCTGCCGCTCATGCCCAGACGCCACGAGACACCACGATCAACGACATAACGGAGGGCCTCAAGGGCCTCACCACCGACTACGATGGCTCAAGTGCGTTTTTGTCCCGCCGACTTGCTGGTTGCGCGATGGACGGCTCCCCCTAGACGGTGGCGGCCGCGATCGGCGAGCTCATGGTACAATTGGTAAACTGACATGAGAGGGCTTCGCAGTACCCGAAGAGCATCTGCCGAGCTCGAGACATGGCCGGCCCAAGAGCAAGCACAAATACCGGACGGGCTCTCGCGACGAGGACTCGGCTCAACGTGCCTACAGAACCTCGACCACGGATTCTTTACATGCGGCCCAGGCGGGGCAGTACGAGTACATGGGGAGTCAATGTAAGTCGCAGCTGCACTGAAACACTGTCTCAGTCGTTTACAGCGAGTCTCATGAATAGATGTCCACGGATCATCCGAAGCGCAGTACTATCAGCGGTCGACATCAGGTACTTGGCCAATGGCTCGTGTTCTGGGGTGTTGGGTTTCGCGAGACTGACTGACAAGATTTTGTTGGCGGGGTAGAATCCCAGTCGGCTCCTTCATACGGCAGGGAGAATCGATCAGCTGGTGAGTACCTTGACAATTTGTCAATCTGAACTTTTGCCGCTGCGTCTGCTTTTGTTGTCGTCTTGAGCAAGAATGCTTGGGTCAATGCTAAGTCATGGGACCAGACCGACCAATACACGGGTACGACGAGCGAAATCACTACGACGAGCGGAAACATAGTCCTGACCAAGAACCGGAAGACGACGAGTTGGCAGACACCATTGCGGCGAGCCAGCAGTACAATTACAACGCATATGCAACTGCTGGGGAGTCATCGGCCTCGGCTTATGGTTCGGCGCTGAATCTGTCAAGCTTCATACAAGGATCAAACTAACGCAATGGCAGCTCAATATGACGAAGACGAGGACGAAGGTCCGCCGACGCCAAAGGCGCAGTCAAGTGCAGGGAGCTACCACATCACGGCTCTCGAGGAGCCATTGGAGGAACTGGATCCCCGTAGGTCCCTGTTGCCATTCTTGCGAAGCGCCAGTGGAGCTGATGCTCAGGAACAGGTTACAGAGTTGAGCCTTCCAGCAAGTTTCAGCCAGGCGAGGTGTGTACAAGTCAAACCTGAATGAACCCGAGGTCATCGGAGGAGACGAGTCTGCTGACACCAATGAGGAAAGATATTCAAAGTTCATTGGTCAGAGCCGCAAGGTGCCAGCTCCGAAAGCGCCCCAAGCGTGTCAGGCAAGCACGAGATCCAGAATCGATTTGGAACCAAGTTTTTCGTTGGCTTCCGGCGCTTTATTGTGATAGCAAACGATCAGGGTCATTGCACCTGCGTGTAAGTGCATGGACACAACTTCCTATGTTTGTTGAAGAGGGCCTTCTAACCGATCAACAGACCGATTCTAACGTACGGCGGCAAAGGCTGCAAGAAGAAAGGTGTCAAGGCTGACAAACACGGCATCATTTACGAGCGCGGCAGCAAGCCGCGATTACTTGACAAGGAGCCCAAGCTAGGATTCCCTCCCGTGAGAGTCGATATGAAGGAAGAGGGCGAGAAGCTGTCCAAAGAGTCCCGCGTCAACTACTCAAAGCTCGTCACCGTGGAACACAACGTCAAGGTGTTTTTCATTGGGTCGATCGTGTACGCTGACTGGGATCTCGTGAGCGATGCCGTCAACCACTGCTGGAACAAGAAGAACCATCAAAAGCAGAGGCATCGGTAGGACTGGGGGGAGGAATGACATGGCCCGCACAGACACGTTTTATCATTTCACAAGCGGCTGCGCATATTGAGCGCATCGCATTCGATGAGGCCGCCTTGCTATTATAGCAGCGCACCCCGTCCACAAAATACGTTCCTCGGGATCAGGTCCCGCGATGCCATAGTTCCTGCGAAAACTGTGTTTGGCGTCTTTTGAGTTACAAAGCATGGCATCCGAGTTACGCTTATCAGTACAGTATGTGCGATCACAGTTGGCGAGCATTATATTCACCTTGCCGGGGAGCATTGATGCGTTGGAGCGTCCATCAGCTCTCCGTACGAGCAATGGAGGCTTAGCTGGAAGCCTAGAGTTCTCAGCCGCGTTATGGGGGTCAGGTTGTATTCGCTTGCATTGACCCCATGTGGTGGAACAGGACACATAATGCTCGGCTGAATGTTCATGGAGATGCATTTTTTCTCTTCTAGACTGATATGTTGACATGTTGATGCGCGTCTCTTACTTTTACATCATATATCTCGCTCAAATGTATGTTGTCCATGCATTTCGTTGGGCTGATGGTGTTATAGCCGTGGTGTGAAGGGATCGAAGGGAAATGTATCCAACCATGATGTGTTGTAAGAATGGGATTATGATGCCTAGCATGAGTACGAAGCGACGAGTCTTAACCCTCACATATGAACGAAACGTGTGCAGGACGGTGATGTTGAGCCCAAGGTACTACCTGTCGCCGACCTCGAGGTGCCGGATAGAGTAGAGTGAGAGAGGATCATGCTACCACACGATGCCGGGCTATCCATGCTAGAGCAGAGCAACGGAGGATCGGCAGCTCAGCTCAGGCACCGCGGCTCAGGAAGAGGGGACTGCATTCCTTCCGGAAGGCTGCTAGTATATTCAAGCCAGGATCTCATGTATGTTTTAAAGGGAGATAGTATTACATGTAGTCACTGTCTCCCAAAACGACATCCAAGTAGATACCCGGTGACAGTCGCTGTGTAGGTACCTAGTGGAAATCAAGGTGTTTGTTGAACCAGGCGAAACAGGTTGGTGTATCGCATCATTGTAAATGCTGCCATCCCTTCGACAGAGTACGCATGTACTCCCAACTCAATTGTTCTTCACGGCTCAGACCTTGCCACACCCATTCAATTTCTGTTCCTGGGCTTACTCCTCGTTCTAATTACATGAAAGTTCTGACAGATCTCCCAAGTGGCGTTCACCAAAACCCATCACTCCCGTCCCTCTCTCAAACCCAAAGCCATTCTCCTACAGTACCCATTCCCATCATCCAAAACAGAAAGCATCACCAAATACTTTCCAGCCCCAGATCCGCCAGCTGTACATACATAATACCCCGGCCTCGTACCAAACCCTCCCCTTGACAAATCCATCGATAGGTACGGAGGGGGATGTATGTATGTTAGTACCACAATCTCCGTGCCTCGGCATCTCTCCCCCGCAAAAAGTCTCCATCGGGCGCCAAGCAAAGTATCTCTTCTGCCAAACTTCGCGGTGGAGGTACTTGAGAACCCCCCTGTTTGGGGAATGGTGCGCTGGTTCCACCCACTTTTTGGGTCGAATCTACACCGAGGATCTTGGGATGTGACACGGATTCAAAAAGGGCCTTGATTCCTCATACTCATATAACAAATTGAACTTGCATCTCTCAATCTTTCTACGTCATTTCAGTATTTCCTGTTTCCCTTTTCTTGGACAGCAGTTCCACATTCTTGATCCGTCACATCGCACATATCTCATTTGATTGATAGAACCACTCGAATCTCCCGTCCGAATCTGAATCTTTGCACAGAAATCCGAACGCGGCTTCTTCACCCCATCACCACAATGTCCGCCCAAATCGAAGCCACCCTCCACGACTTCCCCTCCCTCTTCTCCCTCAAGGGCAAAATCGCCGTCGTAACAGGCGGCTCCCGCGGCCTCGGCCTCCACGCAGCCTCAGCGTAAACATCGTCCCTCCCTTTCCGTATGATCACCACAGCCCCCCCAGCTAAAGAAAACGCGCGCCCACAGATTCATGCAAGCCGGCTGCTCCAAAGTCTTCATCTCCTCCCGCAAAGCAGCCGCCTGCGAGGAAGCCTGCAAGGTGCTCAACGCCCTGCCCAACCTGTCCCCCGGCGCGGCCGCCATCCCCGTGCCCGCGGACTCGGCCACCATGGACGGCGTCAAGAGCCTCCTGGCGCAGGTCAAGCAGCACACCGACGCCGTCGACATCCTCTTCGCCAACGCGGGCGCCACGTGGGGCGAGGCCTTTGACACGCACCCGGACCAGGCGTTCGCCAAGGTCATGGACCTCAACGTCAAGGCCGTCTTCAACACCATCCGCGAGTTCGCGCCGCTGCTGCAGAAGAGGGCCTCGCTCGAGGACCCCAGCCGCGTGCTCATCACGTCGAGCGTCGCCGGACTCGGCGTCGGCACGCTGGGCAAGCAAGGCACGTACGGCTACTCGGCCAGCAAGGCCGCCGTGCTGCACCTGGGCCGCAACCTCGCCCTCGAGCTGGGGCCCCGCGGCATCACCGTCAACTCCATCTGCCCGGGCTTCTTCCCGAGCAAGATGGCCAACGGGCTGCTGGCGCTGTCGGGCGGCGCGGACAGGATCGCAAAGGCGAACCCGATGCGGAGGCTGGGCCGGCCCGAGGACATTGCGGGCGCGGTCGTATATCTGACGAGTCGGGCGGGGTCGCATGTGAATGGGGAGGCGATTGCGATTGATGGCGGTGCGTTGTGGTCGCGTGGGGAGATGTTGGTGGAGGAGCAGTCGAAGCTATAGGTGAAAGGCTTGAGAAGGGGTTGGGCTTTGGCGAAGAGGCGAAGGGGTGTGAATATCCGGAGGTCTGTATGATAGAATGACCGGCTTTACATACATGCTGCTGCATGATTTAAACTGTCTTATTTTCTTTACTTAGTTCTTTTTCATCACACAGCGGATCGACATGGGCAGATATCACATCACACAGCGCACTGACAGATTCATTACATCTTGTATTCTCTCATCATACCCCGGGTGTCGAAGAACCGCTCGCTTGCTTGCCCGCCGGCGGCTTGCGGGCCACCCACGTCGTCACATTGTACACCGTCTGCAGCATGCTATCCATGTCCTGAATGTAGGGCGCTCTGATGCCCATCTCCATCGATTCTACCACAAACCCCAGCTTCTCCACCAACGCCATCACCTCGTCGTTGCTCAGCTCAAAGCTCCCGGGGTCGGCAATGCCCGACGAGTTGTTAAAGTCATGCTCCCCATCACCATCATCGTCATGCCCGTGATTGCCGGGCGCGTTGTTTTCAAAGTGCCACAGCAAGGGGCCGACGTTGACGAGCACGCCGCCGGGCCGGAGGCAGTGCAAGATGACCTCGAGGTAGCGGATGAGATTGGGCGCCGTGTCGAGGAAGAAGACGCTGGCGACGGCGTCGTACGACTCCTTGTGCTCGTCGTCGCCGTAGAGGCAGAGGAAGTCGGCGGCGCACATGGACATGGAGCCGACGCTGGGCGCGTTGAGCAGGGCGGTGCCGGGGTGGATGTCGGGCACGGCGTAGCTCCGGAGGTGGTTCTCCCGCGTCTTGTGGTTGGAGAATGTGTGGATCCAGGGGTAGATGGTGTACTGCTCGGCGCTTTCGCACTCGTTGAGGATGTGCGACGATGCCAGCAGCTGGTGGTAGGAGATTTCGTTGCCTTCCGCCTCGTAGCCTTCCCGGCACAGTTCAAAGACCAGCCGCCCTAGTCCAGCGCCGGGGACCAGCACTTTCAAGCGCTCGCCCTCCGGGGCCTTGCTGGTCCTCTCCTGGGCAAGAGCCTTCATCACGGGGCCGTAGGACGCGGCCCGTTCCTCTGCGCCGGCGGCCGTCCAGTCGCGGTAGAACTGGCGGAGAGTGCTCCTGGCCTTGTCAATGTCTGCATGCTTGGCTACCCCGGCCCATTCATGCGGCATGACGGGCTGGTCATGGTCTGATGAGGCAGCATCGAGGGCATTGAACGACACCAGCCCTGACTTGAGAATCGCTCGAGCCAGAGTCGCGTTTGTGTCGATGGCCTCGTCGACCTTGTCCAGCGTTTCGAGGAAGTTGAAGGGAGGCGCGGCGAGGAGCTTCCAGTGGGCCTGAGGGAGGGCGTAGAAGGACCGGCGACGCAGGTGAGTGACGTTGAAGTGGGCGACTTTGGCGTATTGTCTGGAGCGAAGGTGTCAGTCTGAGGTGATGTCATGCTGTTTGTATGAGATGACGATGGGATGAGATGAGATGAGATGAGATGGCCATGAGAACCAAGGTACATATGTAGCTCTTCATGATGACACCTTCGAGATCCATCTAAAAGCACGCACAAGACGACGAACTGATACGCAAACACACTCACGCAAACGAATCCAGCGCGCAAAAGATGACCCGGATCTCTTCCGGGTCGTCCATGCCGCCATCTACACTGGTCCATGCGCTCTCCTCGGCCACAGCCAAAGAAGCCCCGCCGTCGTGATCCATCTCAGCCTTTGCTTTCTAACGGCGATATCCCGCGACCATGGTGGTGAGAGGAAGTTGCTGAAGTAAGGGGAAGAGAGAGAGAGAGAGAGAGATGATATCAGCCAATCCTGGTTGTCTTATCAAGCAAAGAGTCTCTTTTTATGCTTTTTATTTTTTCCGGGCCGCCGCATTCGGGTCCTTTTTTTTTCTGGAGATTGCAGCCGAGTTCTGTCAAGTTAGTGGGGGAGATGGTCGGGCGTGGTGTTATTTTATCTTACTTCATTTTTTCGGAGCTGCGCTAAAAGCAGTGAGCTTTCCATTCACTCTCGTCGGAAGCGAATCATGTGATTCCACTCTCCTCACGAACTGCTCCTGATATACGCTTCATTCGTCATCACCTTTCAGATACCTCCCTTCTCTGCGGAACCTACCCGTCATGGCAGCCGAACCAAACGACGTCGTGCAGGTTTCCCTTCCGCTGCCGCGGTCGCTGGACACCCGCGTCTTCATCCGCGTGGCAACCCAGGCCAAGGCGATCCTCCTCTCCCTCACCACTGCGTCTCAAGAGGAGCTGTCTTCGCTGAGGCCCATGGGCTCCTTTGTCTATGCGCTCCCCGACGTACGTCTCAAGTCGCCTCGAGAGTTGAGAGCCCCCCATCCGCTGACCTAAAACCAGAGATTCAACCAGCAGCAAGCCATCGCCACTACGCTCTTCTCCGCAGAGTCGTCTCTGGAGTTTACAACACGAGTCGCAAAGCTGGTCGCCCGCAAGACGCAGCTGCCCGTGTATGTGACAAACTCCATCAGCCTCGAGAGCATGGGCATGGGCGGCACCGTCGAGGAGGAGATGGAGGCGTTCAAGGGCGTGGCCGAGGCCATCTTGAGCATCCTCCCCAAGAAACAAGTGCCCAGCTGAGCCAGCGTGGAGAGTTTATATGATAGTTCCATCACTATGAAGCAATCCGGTGGCCACTGAAAGCATGTCTGCCTATCAAGAGATGGGCCAGACCTGCATCATCGCAATGCTTGCTGCATCCCTGCTGACGGTGTCGAGGAAGCCTTCCAGAAGAAGGGATCTGCATCGGCGCGTCAACTAGCCACCTATGAGAAGTTGATGTTCGAATCCGTGGGATGAGGCGTATCAGGAAATGTTCACCACCGGCCATCCAAAGGGTTACTGCCACAGGATTCACAGCTCGATGGCTTTGTGTATTGAATTGATGCAATACGGCAGAAAATAGATGGAGAGCAGAATTGAAGTCTCACCGTGAGCCGATGCTCTTCCTGTCATCCACGCTGACGATGGCGGCAACGAGGAGAGGCCACAGCGAGGGGGTGCTTGTACATATACAGCTACCGGTGCAGCCAAGCAGCTGCAGTAGCGGCTGCAAGTACCGAGGTACCACCTATCAAGGACAATGGCGGCACTTGAGGATGGAGCAGTTGATTGGCGTCGGACGACTTTGGCTGTGGCTTCACCCCCTCTATCAGCGGCGATGCCGGTGGCCAGCATGAGAAGTACCTTATGTATGTACCGATGATTTGTCTTGAAGAGGACAGACAATAGACGGAGTTGGCCAGATTTATCTCACCTTTTCTTCATTGTATCAAAGGAAAAGGGGACTTAGGTACTACCTACAGTATAAGGTACCCTCAATAACCCATTGTGTCGAGAGTTCTTATCGCAGTCTCATCACCTGACTCCGTCTTGACTGTGCATCTCCCCCAAACAATTTTTTTTCTTCAGACTTGGCCCACCCTCTTCTTCATTGGCTTCTCTCCCCCCCAAGGCCAAGGTATTCCCGGGTTATCGTTATCGCACCCCGCTACGCAATTTGGCCGCCAAAAAAAACAGGTGGGTTCAAAGGTTTGCTCCCCGCCAAATCAATCGCGCAAGGTCTGGCGCATCCGTTTCGTCTCTCGTCCGGCCACGACGACCATCCGCCCAGTTTTGCCTGCTGCAGCCATTCGAGCCGCTTCTCACGCCTCTTGAGCGCCCTGCTCGCCGATTCACAGCCCGACACCCCGTGACGTCGCCTCGGCAGCTCCTCGAGAACTCCAGGCGTCGCCCGCAAGAGGAACCACCCCCACAGCTCGTCCCGGGTCTCGACATCCAGGGGCCCTTCTGTGCTGCTTCTTTGCTTCTTTGTACGCCCTGCTGCTGCGCCAGAGGAACCCGCTGGGATCACTAACTCGCTTGCCTCTGCGAGTCTGCAGCCGCTGCTTCATGTCCTAGGGCATCTTTGCACCTCAGCAAGCAACAACTTGAACCGAAGCGCATCGCATTGCTCCTCTCGCGCGCGGCGAACCGCTGCCACTACCGCCCATCATGGCCTGGCAACCCGCCCCAGAGTCCTTGAACCAGCTTGCGGCATGTCTCAAGGACTCCCTCAGCGGATTCGACAAGACCGCCCAGAAACAGGCTGAGCTGGTCAGTTTCCATCCAGAGACGTCATTGTTCGTTGTGTGTGTGTTGTGTGCTTGGGGATTTGAACACTGACCGAGTATCGAGCAAGTAGATGCTTCAACAAGCTAAGAACTCGCCTGATATCAACAACTACCTAGCCTTCATCCTGTCCAGCCCACAGCCCCCCGAGGGCCTGCAAGTCAGCGAAAAGGACTATCACCTCGTGAGGTCGGCTGCCGGTGTCATGCTCAAGAACAATGTCAGGTCGGATTGGAAGTCCATCCCGGAGTCGAGCCTGCAGCTCGTCAAGCTCGCCGTCCCCATGGGTTTGCAAGATAAGAACTCGCAGATTCGGAATCTGGCCGGAAACATCGCCACCGAAGTGATTAGGAGAGGCGGCTTGATGGGCTGGCCCGATCTGCTCCCCCAGCTCCTCGAAATGATTGGCAACTCGAGCGGCCAATTCTCCAACGAAGCTCAAGAAGGCGCCATGTCGGCCATGACCAAGATTTGCGAGGACAACTTTAAGATGTTGACCAAGGAGGTCAATGGCCAGCGACCCCTAAATCACGTTCTTCCCCAGCTCATTGCCGCGACCAAGAGCCCCCTGTGGAGAGTCCGAGTCGGAGCGCTGACGGCCATCAACGTCTTCACCCCCAGGGCATCCCAAGCCATGATGAACAACGTCGACGACCTGCTGCAGCACCTCTTCGTCCTGTCGGCAGACGAAAACACCGAGGTGCGCCGGCAGGTGTGCCGGGCTTTTGTCCACCTGGTGGAGACGCGGCCGGACAAGCTGCAGCCACACATTGGCGGCTTGGTCGACTACCTCATAACCCAGCAGAAGAGCGACGACGAGGACCTTGCCTGCGAGGCCGCCGAGTTCTGGCTGGCCATTGGCGAGCACGACGACCTTTGGAACGCCCTGCGGCCGTATCTCAACAAAATCATCCCCGTTTTGCTGCACTGCATGGTGTACAGCGGAGAGGACATTGCCCTTCTCGGCGGGCTTTCAGACGACGAGGATGAGGAGGACCGAGAGGAGGATATCCGACCGGCTTTTGCCAAGAAGTCTTCGGCGAGAACTGCCAACGGCGAAGGCAATCTCTCGGGTGATGCCAACCCGAACGGTGCCGGCTACGAGAAGCTTGGCCGCATGGATGAGGGGCTGGAGGAAGGCGAACTCGATGATCTCGATGACGAAGATGACGACGAAAACCCCGACGAGAGATGGACGGTCAGGAAGTGCTCAGCAGCCGCGCTCGACGTTTTCGCCCGCGACTTTGGCGGGCCCGTCTTCGAAGCCATTTTCCCATACCTCTCGCAGAACCTCAAGCACGACGAGTGGCCCTACCGTGAGGCTGCCGTCCTGGCTCTCGGTGCTGTGGCCGATGGCTGCATGGACGCCGTCACGCCTCACCTTCCCGAGCTGGTGCCATACCTGATCTCGCTCCTCGAGGATCCGGAGCCTGTTGTGAGGCAAATCACCTGTTGGGCATTGGGGAGATACTCGTCTTGGGCAGCCAACCTCAGTGAGCAGTCTCAAAGAGAGCAGTTCTTCCTGCCAATGATGGACGGTATTCTCCGCAAGATGCTGGACAAGAACAAGAAGGTCCAGGAGGCGGGCGCCTCGGCGTTTGCGAACCTGGAGGAAAAGGCCGGCAAGAAGCTGGAGCCATACTGCGGCCCCATTATCCAGCAATTCGTCAAGTGTTTCGCCAAGTACAAGGACCGCAACATGTACATTCTCTACGATTGCGTCCAGACGCTGGCCGAGCGCCTGGGCCCCTTCATTGCCCGGCCCGAGCTGGTCAACCAGTTGATGCCGGCGCTGACGGAGCGATACAACACCGTCTCGGACCAGTCCCGCGAACTGTTCCCGCTGCTCGAATGTCTCTCCTACGTCGCCTTGGCTTTGGGTCAAGCCTTCACTCCTTACGCGCCCCCGATATTCCTGCGCTGCATCAACATTATCCACGCGAACCTGGAGCAGGGCATCATGGCCACGACAGATCACGCCTTGGACCAGCCCGACAAGGATTTCCTCATCACGAGCCTTGACCTTTTGAGCGCCATCATCCAGGCGCTCGAGGACGACAAGTCAGCGGAGCTCGTCAAGAGCTCTCCTCACCCCTTCTTTGAACTCCTCGGCTTCTGCATGGAAGACCCCACGGACGAGGTGCGGCAATCCGCGTACGCACTGCTGGGCGACTGTGCCAAGTATGTCTTCCCCGAGCTTCAGCCGTACGTGCCGACGATCCTGCCCATCTTGTTGAAGCAGCTCGACATCGACAGCATCCTCGATGAGGAGATTGAGAGCGGGTTCGGCGTCATCAACAACGCCTGCTGGTCGGCCGGCGAGATCAGCATGCAGCATCTCAAGGGAATGCAGCCATGGGTGCCTGAGCTGCTTCAGCGCCTCGTTGAGATCATGTCCAACCCCGGCGTGCCAAAGGGACTTGTCGAGAACGCCGCCATTGCCCTTGGACGTCTTGGCCTCGGCAACGCCGAGCAGCTGGCACCGGCACTTCCCAAGTTTGCAGGGGAGTTCTTGGCGGCGATGCAGGAGGTTGACCCCACGGAGGAAAAGGCTACCGCGTTCAAGGGATTCACGCTGGTCGTTGGGCAGAACCCGCAGGCTCTGGAGAAGGTTCTGCTGGAATTCTTCGTTTCCATTGCCCGGTATCAAGACATGAACTTGAGGAACCCGATCAAGCAAGAGCTCCACGAAGTGTTCCAAAACGTAAGTCCCCAATCCCTTTTTGTGTCTTTCGATTTTTACGAATGCTAACAACAGTCTTTACAGGTTCTCAACGTCTACAAGCAACTCATCCCACAGTTTGACGAGTTCGTCAGCAGGCTGCAGCCCCAAGACCAGCAGGCGCTAAAGACCACCTACGCGATATGAGAGGCGGAGCAGGCTTGCGCGGATTTGCTTGGCACAGTCATGCTGGGGAAGAGGAAAAGGCCAAGTTAGCGCTGGACGCAGGTTGGGACAGCCTTGGAACGCTGAATTCTAACAAAACTGATGTGCAGAGGTTACTGTAACCCCTGGCTCAGACGACTGTAATGGACATGTGCAAAAAGAACTAAAAGAAGAAAAAGGAAAAGGAAAAGGAGCTTTAGCGATCTTTGGCTGCCCAGCGAGTCCGTGGAAAGGGGATTTGGCATGTATTGGATTTTGATTTGCTCACGGGATATGAGGGGAGTTGCAGATGGAGAATGCTGAGGAGGCTCTGCAAAGTGCTCCCTCAGGCAAGACGATATATCTTGGAACAAATATGACGACTGAGAAGAAGATGAAAGAAAGGGGAGGAAAATAAAGGGGCTTATCAAAACAAACATATCCACGGCGGAGGAAATATGGGAAATGAGGTGTCATGATGTGCCATTTGTCGCTTTAGGGGAGAGGGGGAAACGCAAACCCAAAACAAATTTATAGATAGATTTTCTTGTTTTCTACTCCTTCTTCTTTCACCAGAAGGGTGTGTTTCGCTTTTGATCCAATTACCTGCTTAGGTAGTTTAGCTAACAGACACAGAACGGGAGAGGGGGGGGGGACTTGAGTTGTTGTTATACTTAAGGGGAGTGTGTGTGGTTTTCGGAGTGCGTTGCAGGATGGACAATTTATGGGAAGTTTCTTTTTTTCTTTTACAAAGGTAGTTTATTAGGTAGGTAGGTAGGTAGACTTTTGAACAAAAACAGATCAAAGTTCAGATAGTATTTCATATAAAGAAGTCTAAGATGGTGATTCATGGGATGATGGTGATGTTTGTTTAGGGGTGTTGTTGGTGTTGGGTTAAATGAAATGCTGGGTTAGTGAGAATGAGAAGTGCTTGTGGATTCGGGATTCGATAAGTTGAGAAGAGGAATGATTAAGGGAGTGCTTTTGGTGATGAGTTGGTTGGGGGTTGTATAGAACGTGGGTGATGGACGAACTGACGTGTAGTAGGGAATAGAAAGTTTGTCCTCTCTCTCCTGATGGTATTTGCTGGACTAATTTGTTACGGGTGCAAACTGAATGATGAAGATGTACGTATACGGTTGTTTTTACTATGTAGATGAAAATGCATGGTGGGCATTGACTTTGATTCTTTTCAGTCGATTGAATAAAGTGAAGCAACTACTAGAGACAAGTTTACCCAAACGACCACCATAGCTGAAATTCAGATGCATCACGATTCACACGGATCGCAACTCCCACCAATGCTGAGCATCAGGTCATCCCATTTTTCCACAATCTACAACATCCATCACTTTCAACAACCCTTTCAACAGACCAAAAAAGGGGGGGGGAAAGGGCGAAAGGGGGAAAAGATTGCCAAAATCGAGACTATACTCAACATCAACATAATCCGCATCCCTCCCAACGGATCAGTATTAGCTCAAACCCCCCCCCCCTATTAGCCATGAACAGTCATCACAAAATACCATACCAGCTAGACAAAGCTGTCTTGCTACTTACGCCCTAACAGAGAAGAAGTCTGGACTTTGTTTTTGAAATCCGCTCTTTTGGTTGCAACCCAGTTTGAATACTTTGCATGACATGATATGACAAAAGACGGACTTGCTAACCCTCGCTCTACTCCATCAATCTCTCTGTAGTTCGTGCCATGAAAGTCATTCAGGTGCCTTGTGTGCGTTGAAGCTAGGATATACCTAAATCTAAGACGATGTGATACATGTCCCCGTTCAAGCCAACCTCAAAGTCACATAGAACACACACCCCTAACTACACACGCATCACATTCATCACTTTCATCTAAACTTGCTCAATCCACTCAAACACTCCAACCTTCTATAGTCGCCAGTGACCAGATAGCCACGTGTCATTACAATTGGTCTGTGTGTGAAGCCAAATCATATGTCCAAAGTAAAACAGATGTGATACTAGATCCCGTTCAAGCACCTCAAATCACACATCCACCCCCTAACTACACCAACAAGCACACACTCAACTCCCTTCCGTTATCCAAACTTGCTCATTTCACCCAGACACCTAACCATTTACAGATATATTAGCTTCACCATCAGCAGCCAAATAACCCCAATCAAGCAAGACAGAGGGGAAAGAAAAAGGGGGAAAGCCCTAAAAAAGGCACGACATCAGCCAGCCCCCATGACACAGATCTCGTACTCGTAAAACCCCATCAGAACTCTAAATATATCTCCTACTGAAAAAGCGCAAATCCGATACGATACTTCAACACGGGATCTTAAAATTACAGTCCACAGGCTATAGACTACAGGACCGTTGGAGTGATGGCAACGAAAAGGGAAAAGTCAATTCCCCATCCCATACGATTTTCTCCCAAAACTCAAAACAACACAAGCACACAAACCAAAGTCTCCAGAACCAGAAACATACTCAGAACACGCAAGGCACAACCACAAGGCAGACAGATACAGATATATACCTACAGAGGTAAAGTAAGCGAATAGATCAGAGGACCCCTAACTAGAGTTCTCCACGTTGTACCCCCAAAACTCAGGAGAAAAATCGAGTGATATGCCTCGAAGCAGGCTTAGTTAGGGTTCTCGTATAAACGGGATATCCGACGATTTTGAGTCCCAACACTTGACTTACATGTACATACCATTCAGTTTCACTCCATACCTCACGATCCAGGGTGTGTGCAAGATGAACCTAACGCTACTCGTACTAATGCCATCTCCATCGTCCCGCAGGCCTCCTGTATCCCGTCTCATGCCCTCATGCCAAGTCAACCAAGGGGCTATGCTTCTCATGTCAAATCACCATGGCTTATGCCAGTCCATTCCATGCCACACTCCCATCAGGACCTTACTCTCCTCTCCTTTTTCTTTCCTATCCTTTCACACCTTTTCCCATCATACTCAAGAGCCCCTGCCCAGCATGGTAAAGTAAGGAGAATAGAAAGAAACAAACCCTGCTTCCGGTTCACCCCTGTAAGCAAACATATCACGTATCATTCCAAATCTTTTCCATCTACTCCCCCCTGATTTCTTCAACATGTTATATTCATAGAATGTGAGCATTGCAAAGGAATAGGGGTTGAGGTTTCTCAAACGTTGGAGGTATTTGGTGTGAACATTCACAGAAGGGAATAGAGTTTAGCCACATTATGCAGGAGGACACTGTATCTAAGTGGTTACTAAGGATCCAGTTAGCTAGGAAGAATAATGGGACAGACATAATGAGAAGCAAACAGACCAGATCAAGAAAGAAGACAACAACAAGCAACACCCTGTAAGATAGTCTCCTCCCGCATAGATGGAAGCTTCAAGAAAGAAAGCTGCGTAGTTTCCGCGTAAACAAAGAAAAAAAGGCCCGGATGAGCTGCAGCTGACATCGCTTACACCAGATCCTTCTCGCATTCGCACCGCAACACAAGAGGTATAGGTACGGAGCAAGCGACTCCTGCCAGCAAAATCTTACCTTATCATCGCTTCGTCACGAACGTCTGACTTCCGAGCGAACCGCAAAGATCTGCATCTCAAAACACTATACGTGTGAGGCCTCACCCAACAAAGGAAAAGCAAAGAATATGTGTCAGTAGGTACAGGTACGTATCTCGGATCAGTGGACACCAGTAAGCAAAAGCGAACAAGTCCCTACCCGTCCTCATGCCCATTCCTATTCTCCGATTCCAGGTATTCGATTCGATAGTCACTCACATGAATGTCGCTGCTCGGCACTAACCCCCTATCACGATGAGATTCCCTAGTACCGGAAGTCAAATTCAGCATGAATTCCAGATCCAACATCAACTTGGCCCAAAGAAACGCCGTTCACATCCACAAACGAGTTAGCAGGTTGCCTCTTTTCGTATCTCGGCGCCTCCATCTGGTGATGCCAACGAAAATCCTGAATCGAACGTTCGATATGTGCCCAGTAAAGATGCATCTGACCATTCGCCACCGATGGATCGGATTAAGCTATACTTCACTACTGTAAGGTGTAAGCGAGCAGTGATAGACACCCCGTAAGATGCTTCTCGTAAGTATTGCATCTTCGACGGGTGGACGGTGGGGTGTTGGTCAGGATCTTCTTCGAGTACTTCTCTGCATGTCCTCATGCGGCATCGTCAATACTTGTCCGTGTCTCTCGCAAGACTGCCAATAGATCGCATCTCGTCATCAAGCGTCCACGTAGCATCACCACCCATCACCGAGAACTCCATCATGCCGCAATAGCATTCTTCAGGGCCTCATTGTCTGTCCACGCGTTCGGTTCGCTGCTGCAGGCTGATGGAGCCCCATGCATGCCTGCATACAAAGCACCCGTAACCCTCTCAAGGCGCATAGCCTAAGGCGTGATACAAAGTGGTGAGATGGCCAGATGCAACTGCAACAAGCGGCCAAGAAACGGGATGCAACTCGTTTGGTCGGCTCACGCGCCGTCGCACGCCGCAAAGCCATTCGCCGCACGCAGAATGCGCCATGGCTTCGCAGCTATTACTTCCTAGACTGATGCTATTCTTAGCTCTTGGGGATGCGGCAGCCACATGCGCATCATGCAAGCTGAAAAGGAACGCAGGCGACAACGACACCTCATTGGCATCTTGATGCTGAAGCCGCGAAAAGGGCAAAGATTGCGGCCGGCTGCTGCTCATGCCATGAGCACAGCCCGGCTCACCTTTGTGCCATCCGTCACTCATCACTCATCTCTTCATAAGCATGCTGAATCCATGCCCGCATCAGCAATAACCCCGACGGGCAGGCGTACAGGTACAGGCAGGTACGGGCATCCAGGCACAGGTACATCGAACAGACGGCATAATCCCCGCCTATGCGATAGGGGCAAAGCCCATTTCTCATGGCGGTTAAACGCTCAGCCTCCAAACATGTCGGGGATGATCAAACCAACACCATCAAGTCGAGCTCACAGGCCAGGACGTTTCAGAACCCCAAGGAAACCCATGGCCTGAATAGGCAGTTACGGCATGTCCTGCGCGTGCTTATAACTCGTATGTCTGATTGCACTGGTAAGAGTCAGATCGGCCAGACGTGCACATGTGCAGGTGATATTCGTGCCAGGATACCGGTCACAGCAGTGAAACGGGAATGGTAGAGCATCATCTCTGAATGCCGGCCCGCACAAGAGGGGACCGAGTTGTAGCATACTAGCGTGCACCACTGGCAGTAAACCCTCATCATGCTGTGAATCAAGGGACCTGGCAATTGGTCCTGCAGGTGATTAGCTCACAGGAACAGATAGAATGGAAACACACAAAGGGATGACCAGACGTCGACCCGTATCATCGTGGGGGGAAGGGGTTCCAGATTCCATGTAAACTCTTGGCGGGTTGAGTTTATGGGCGAATTCTTCCGCAGGGCGTGCTTCGCCTATCATGCATTAGCTTGCCAATAAGCAGCAATGCTAGCCGTCAAGGGACCCAAAGACTGTGGACAATCCATCTCAATTCAAGCCCGCCCACGTGCAATGAGTCGAAAGGCCCAGATGAAGCTTCGGGCCTCGCGCTTCGGCACTCTGCCGCTGCCAAGATGCTGTGGGCGTGCTCCGCGTTGACCATTATCTTCTTGCAGCCGTGACTGGTATTCTCACTTTGGCTTGGTTCTGACACCATGAGTTGTAGCGCTTGTATAAGCTAGGATACGGCAACGTCCTAAGGGTTTCTCGTGACAGAACTTGCAACCAGGGTCTTGTGTGACAAGCGACAGCCCTGTTCAGCAGTGATAGAGCTCCCTGCTCAGACGCGAACAAATCGGTTGGAAGTGACATGCTTCTGCTGCTGCTGCTCTGGCTGCCATGCTTGAACGGACGATCAAATGGCTAGCTCGGCTCTAGGCTAGCAATAGTAAGATACTGCCAGCACGAGGAAGAGATTGCAGCAATATGTCGAGATCGCCTATGAAGGAGGCTAGCAGGTCGAAAATCGAGAACCATGTTCACCAGAGAGGCCCCTGCCTCTTGCGGCTTGCCAAAGCCAAACAAGTGCCGCCTAAAAGGTGAGACATCGATGACCGCAGCGGCAGCCCATTTGTCAACACTTGTCTGTATCCAGGCCCGCCCTGGCTGCGTATAGCTTGTATATCCGGAAGCTTCACTTTGTTGTCATGGTCGTGACCGGGTCCTCCGATACCAAGGATAACAAGCCAGGCAGCACCCATAATGAGATACCACTCGAAGTGACGGGACGGCCATGATGCTAGCGCTCTCTGCAATGAGAGGATGCCCAAGAATTAGCCCAGATGGTCAACCGGGGTGCATAAGCGATTCCACAACCTCCGGGTAACTCTACGTCAATTTCAACGCCGGATGCACAGTAGAGAAGGAGGAAAACAGCGCTCCCTCGTTGACTCTTGCATACAACACACAAGCGCACCGCCCACGTCGTTCAAACTTGGGCTTCACAGTTTCTCGCATCCCACAACACGCCTGAGAACCGAAACACTGCATTCCGTACTCGCCGTTGAGTCCCTGTACCTGTACTTTGGGTCGCCGGCTGTGTCGACCTGCGTGAGAGATGGACCAGCCCACAGCTAATGGCGTCGCGATATTTCTCCCTCCGTGGCGCGTCTAGCTTCACCACCACCACCACCACCGTCCTCAGCATCACCGGAGCATGCTTTGATGAACGAGGGAGAAAGAGGAGAAGCAGTCCTCTGCGGCCCCGCCCAGCTAGTGCCACCACCCTTTCGATGTTGATGTTGCACCGGCACCACGTTGGGGTAAATTCTATATTTAGGCACACCACCAAAGGTTTCGTCGAAGCTGTCGCTCTGGCTCAGCCAATTGCGGAGTAGCAGCGCCGTAGCGGCAAAGACGACGCAGCTTTGTCTTGTTGTTGGAGGTGCGAGAATGCCAGAGGGCCGCGGCGGTGCTATGGCTCATGCTCGGCCCATTTCCTTCTGGCATATCGCCCTCGTCCAAAGGCTCGGTGGCGTTTCGTCATTGTCGTACACTGGTAGCTCCTCCAAGTCACCATATCTTTTCTTGCCATACTCTCTGCACAAGGTGGTGGACGTTTGAAGATTTGCCTCGAGCTCCAGCCCTCTCCCCCCCCTTGGTAAGTTTGTTCGACGGCCCTACTGCCAATCACCGACGATTCGACCCTTTGTCCATCAGGAACAGATACTCGTCTCGCAGGTCGTGGCCGGACCAGTAATACCATACCAGCAGGTAGAGTCCATTGGCGGCACACGACGTCAAACCATCGCTGCATGGGCACTAGGCCGCTTCGAGGCCATCAAGAAGCTGCCGTCATACACAGTGCTGCCATCACGGTAAGGGTTCGCCTGCAATGGCCACGCCACACACACATCGCCGTTGCCAGAACCAGAGTTATCGGACCGTCTGCAAGTGATCACCCGTTCACTTAGGGTTGCTCAACTGCTCGTCTTCCCCCACACCAGCCGTGCATATGGTAGACGGCAAAAAGTGGCCCTCCAGAGATAAGTACTATCCGCCATCGTCTCTTGAGCATCTTCTGAGACAGGCTTGGTCGGTAAACGATACAGACGAAAGAGCCGGAATCAATCTTTCGATTTGTGGCAATGGTGCACCGATCCCGGCCATTGGGCTTCGCATAGTCTTGCAATGCTTCGGTATGGTGACCGCGCGCAAGAGAGAGACCGAGAGGGTGCTGACGCGCTGATATGCCGCCCTTGGTTTGACATCACACAGATCACTGTGCATGCGCATGTAGGCCATCATGCATTGCATCGACCTACTTCTTCAACTCTGCAGCGCAGCACAGGCCAACCAGCAACGGCAGCAGGAGTACATGGCCTCGCAAGGGACCAAACTATCGAAAGGCTGTGTGCGAGGACGGAGTAACGGCGACGATTTCGTCCTTCTCTGTTGCGTGCGCGAGCCTCCCATTCTCACCGCTCCATGCCGTGGACCGTTGCCAAGCGAGCTGAAGCAACTTCTGATAGGATTCTCCAAATGCGACCAAGCCGCACTCTCCCGCCAGTCGTCAGACAATGACCGCATCGTCTAGGCCAGTGATTGGGGAGGCGCTTCTAGCTGCAGCGGCCGGGTAATACATACAGCACCAGCAGCATATGGTAAGACAATCCTCCCCGGCTATCGCACAGGTACGTAATGGCACATCCCTGCTGCGGTGCAAGTGCTGGCAGGCGGCAGCAGAATCTCAAATCTCAGCGTTCACGGTGGTCTCTGCTGGTATTCATCAGAGTGCTCTCCGCCACGGGCGAGACCGTAGGACGACAAGAGCACGTGCGCATGTTGCGTTGAATAAGCACTTGCGGTGATAGCAGCTCATCGCCTTCTTTCGGAGATCTGGAGCCTTATCCCAGCCCTGTTCGGGTAAATCACAACAGTGCCAGCTGCAGCGGTACTCCGTAATACTTTCTTGAAGGTTGGAAGCGGAAGTGCGATGCCCCATGGGCTTGGTCTTGGGCTTGTTGGAAGACGAAGGCCCTGCATGATACCCAGCAAGTTCTCCATAGGGTAGCTGCCAGCGAGACTTTTCCCTCATCCGATCAGTCCAAGCCAACATACGTACATGCATGTACGTCCGGATATCGGATAGCCAATGCCGCAGGCTCAGTCTGGAGAGCTTTCCAGTCTCTCATCACTTTGGCATGCCCTCGTAGGTTTTCTGAGCGGCAAGTATACGCAGGAGGATGCAGCGAGATATCTTTAGCAGCAGACCTGGAGCCGTCCCTTCATTGGGTATTCGCTTCGCCCATTAGCGCACACGTGTCGATGCAAAGGGAGGATTGCCGAGACACAAACTTGGTGTGAGTCGGTTCTCGGTGGCGAGCCATGAAACGTTGCAGTGCTCCTCTTTTCCGGTGCTTTCCCAACGCTCGCCCTTTTCCCTTTTGCTTCCTTTTTTTTCCTCTTCCTTCGTTAAAGATCTCCATTCCCTTTTTCTTTCGTTGGAGCGCCTGTGGCTTCGCCCTTTTTGCCCTTCTTCAGCCCACCTACCTTAGCGGAAATGAACATAAAAATCTTTTGCTAGCATCGACTAGCCCTTGGCACGCTCCTGGCTCCTTCAAGTCTCGGGATTGGAGCCTGGACGCAATGCCTCAGTAGGTATTACTCCGTTTGCTCGGTATTCCTCAATGCACACAACGGAGTCTTAATATCAACGTGTGCTTGGATTGTATCGCGACAGCAGCGCCACAGCGCTCTTCCCCCTTGGAGAGACGGTGACACAACGCAAAATGTCCATGTCAGTCCCAATCGACGTCATTTCCAGCAGGGCCACAGGCCTCCACGGAGTTAGATGCCTCGGCGGTTTCCTGGGGCTCCAGTGGTACTCTTCTTGCGATATCCGGTAGTGGTGATTTCAGTCTGGCGTCCGCATAAACCACCACATTGAGCAGGTGATCCTCAACATGGTGGCAGAATATTTTCGGACGGTGCAGAGTGGCTCTGGTGTTTCATGCGAAGTGGAATAGTAGGGCTGTGTAAGCTGCAACAAGAACGGAAGCTCAAGCAGCCCTCCTTTCTCTCATCAATGGCATGCCTTCTTCAGGCAATCATGATACAATCCGTCAGCCCGGAAAAATCTCCTGTGGCGCCTAGAAGGTAAAAAACAAGCCTATCTTGGCGGCCCTCGCAGTATTAGAGGTGTAGTCAAAAGTACCCCCTGACTTGCACAGCCAGGCTGTCGTCTGACTCGTCGTGTCGCCAAACCGCCAGTTCGCACTCCAAATGCCCGATAGGCTACTTTGCGGTAAACCGTTTCTCGCCGCCGGGGAGCCAGTGTATACCACTTCTGTGAAGTTGTATGCAGTCTACAAAGCCTGTGTCTGCCGGTAATAGTGTCTGGTGTTCCCGCTTTAGAAGCTACCCTGAAAATCAGCTCGCATTGGATCGAGCCTAATGGCAGCTCGCATTGCGAGGCCAATCACAGTGAGACATGTCGCAGCATAGGGTTCGTGGGTAAAAAAAGAAATTGCCCGGCATGGCATCATGACTGGTAACGGCGTCCCACTAGCGGATGGCTTTGGTGAATCTTCAATGGCGTCCCAATATGGTCAGCAACGCAGGGAAAACAGTATCGGCAAAAGAAGTAATACATGCGTTGGAGGTGACCAGAATCTCCTGCATCAAGTACCGCAAGGTTAGGAGATTGCGAAAGCCGATATCCCCTAAAAAGGGACACGTCCAATCGGGCAACAACTTTCGAATGGTACGGTGTACGACGTAGGTATTCAGTCCATCGTACACCGTCCTCGCCGTGCTGCCCTTCGTACCGCTTCATTAGTATCATGAACATCGCGCGGCTGGTGAATTTGACTGGTTGAATACCCCGAAAATGGTCGGCCTAAATAGGGGCGGAACGTTTTCTTAGCGCGGAGAGCGGCTTGGTGCAGCCCCAGAGGCCATTTTGGGACACGAGGTTTTAGAATATCCTTCACGTCCATGATAATCTCGCTATGATGAGATCTAGACCTGTTCCTGAGAGTTGAGAAAAACCCCTGGGCTCTGTTCGGAACTCGCGCGGGCCATGAAACATGTTGCCTCTGCTTTTATTTTGAGCTGGGGTGGCTGCGATAATGACTGGAAGCGCGGATATATCGTCGTTTCGAGAAGGACCTGAGACTCCGGACTTGTCAGACAACGTGTCAAAACACGAACAAGTAATAAAAAGAGCACTAAACATAGTAGCAAGAGCGCGTCAAGTTATCTGTATGTGACAGCTAACGTACACTCGTCGATGGGGCACGCATAGCGACGTAGTATACTGATAAATGATGGGTGCGTCTGTCGTCCAGGGGCTCTGACCGTCTTCGACCATGATACTTAGTACGTTGGCATTGCTCTGCCCAGCACAGAGAGTGTGATACTGCTTTTGGATAGCTGAATGTTGCAAGGAAGTAGAAGACGTCATAGAAGGAGAGAGCAATCCGTAGAGCCCGACGGAATACTAATGTCAATGCCACGTGCCCCTTTACCTGCAGTGCCATCTGCCGGGATGCCTCGGTGGGCAGGACCGGTTAAAGCCTGCCGCAAGAAGATTGGAAGAGCATCTTCAATGCTCTTCCAGCTTATAGAGTGCTGACCCAGAAACCTCCTTGCATCGGTGGCCGTCCATCAGTGTCGAAGTCGAGACGATGCAGGGGGCTAACCAGCAGTGGATCTGTGGTTGTGGTGTCTTCGCTGAGGGCCAGCATCGTCCCCCGCGCCAGGCAGGATGTTCCCCTCGAGATCCCTGGTGAAAGAATACCGCGTCAGGGGTTACGGCGGGTTGGCTGCCTCCGTCGCGAACTTGCTTTCCCAGCCTCGATGTGCTTGCCCTGTGCTCAGAGTGGACTGCGGATGAGGAGCCGAGCCTTGCATCTTGGCCGCGACTCGGAGTGGTTTTTCAGAGCCTAGGGCTGTTGTCTGCTTCTGGCTTTGCGATCGGTTCTGCGCAGCCAAGGGCGATGCCGAGCTAAGAAGGCTTCCTAACTGCTGAAGGAAGAGTGCAACCTCGTATCTTGGGATAGTGAGACGATTAGACAAACCCAAGGCTGTCGCTCATTTCCTGTAGATCAGGAACGCGCTCGATGACGGCGGGGCCCAGGTGAAGAGTGGCTGAGATGTCATGCAATCCTGGTTAGCACAAGCAGGGCTAGCCAACCACGATGGCCCTCGTCCGGGTTAGTGACCTATTCAGGACGACAGGCTGGGGACCCAGTGACTGACTCGGTATATCATCAGTTTCTTGATGATCAAGGCCGCCTGTCAGTGAGATGCGCTTCGCCAATTCGGATGCATTTCGCTTTCGCCCATCTGTCCGCCTGGCCCTTGCGCTTCGGCAATATCTCGTTGCCCAAAATCATGGGCACGGAGGACATGAGATGGTGATCTCCATCTCGACAGGACAAAACATTGCTTTGGACGGAGTCTGTACGTTGGACTCCGTACGGATGCTCCACGCATCGCTCGGCCGATAGGTGTACCTGTACGGAGTACATGTGTCAAATGGCGCGGCTGCCCGACATCCGCGGCAGGATCTGCGTGGAGGCGGCCTTGTTAGCATATTTGGAGGGGACAGTTCCGGAGTACCACTGCTCCAGCTCGTAGTAGATGCCTAGGTATACAAAGGGTAATTGTAAGACGGCCGCTAAGTTCTGAGCGGCTTCTCGAATACAAGGACCCGGAGATCAGCAGCTCTGGAGCAGCACAGGTAGAGGACAATTCGTACTGTACGCTGATGCGAAGCTGCTCGGCGGCACGGCCTCCCCATTACTGCCAGCGACCCTGCTCGAAAGTTGAGACGAATATAGGAAGAGTTGGGGAAGATCCAGGCGTCAGGCGCGAGAACCTCCGGCGGCTCAGGGTAGCCATTTGATTAATGAGATAGGCGAGACCGCTGGATAATCCCCGATGCTGGCTCTGGCGGCAGATGCCCTCGCCGCAGTCCGTTCTCTGCACAGGCACACAAGTGACGCCTGTTAGCTGGACGCTTTCCCGTAACGTTAACCCGAACGCAGGGCAAGGCAAAAGCGCACCCTTGCGGCGCATTGACCAGGACCGTCTGGAATGTGTCATGATCGAGCTGAGAGGCATCGCCTCAACGCCCTAGAAGCCAGAGCCAGACCGGCCGCATAAGGCCGAGCGTGGCGCGGCGACGTCCAAACCAGCGGTTGAGGCCGTACGACGGAGCGTTTGGTGCGAACCTGCGAGGCCCAGTTGTGTGTCGTTACCAAAGCAATCCTCGGGTCCGGCGTCCAGGGCCTCCTGGCCAAGCACATGCCGTCTGCCTTTTTCTACCTTGACTGGTTACCCAACGCGGACTTAACATGGACGACAGGGAACGCAGCAAATTGGCTTCACAAAGAAGCGGGCGAGGACTCTTCTGCAGAGGAAATGCATCGACCGGTTTCTCCGTCGCCATGCTTGCACGAGGCCGTACATAGTTTGGCCTGCCCAGCCACCATGTGCCGAAGCCTCCGTCGCCGCCATGCCCGAGCAGCGGGACCAAAAGCGTGGCAGCCAAGCGGCCAAGGAACCAAAGTCTCTGGCGATAGTAAAAGGTGCCAAATGTCTTTTTGTGACGGCCACTCAGTAAGTGGTCTGGTTGGATCCGTCGAGCGCTAGCAGTTGAGATTTTTCGTTTTCCTGTATCTGCCGAGGGGGATTGTGATGCCTGTGATGCTTGCAAGTGTCCGTGATACTGCAGTGATGCCAACTCCTCAGGCCAACGACATGCTCACCCGGCTTGTTCTGTAAATTTGGCATGACAGCGGTTGAGTCGAGCTGCAGAAGAGCTGGTGAGATGGTCGGAATCCTGACCAACGAGATTGATTCCTGCTGGTGGAGTTGATGTCTAGACCTTCTTGGCAGGCGGCACCGACTCCGACTTGCACACAGTGCACACAGTACGGATAATGCTGTCCCGAAATGGCGAGGCCAAGGCTGCGTGACGTCGCCGTCTATAAGTCGTGCCTGCCAGGCAACGGCAGGACTGCTGGACGGGAAGGAAGGATGCAAGAGGGGGTTACAAACCTGAAGCGTACCACATATTAGGAGTGGTGCTGGCTGAGTGCAGGGAAATTCGAGGATGCAGTTGGCGATATAATCGATGTCTGTAAGGCATGGCGATTGTTTGCGCAAAGGCATCGTCCCTTAGGAGACTGGGAGGTGCATCACAGTGGGGTTCCATCCGGGAGTACCCAAGGTAATTCTCGGTACAAGCACTTACAACTACACACACAACAACGAAAGACCTCCACTGCGCCGATGCTGCTGTCGGGTCAAATAGGCTCTATAATCTCAAATCGTGACGACAAGTCTCAGCACAGCTGCAGTGCCTTTGACCACTCGAAGTGTACCTTTCACAAGCACTTCCATGTGCGTGGAGCTTCTCGGTGGACGGCGCCCAGCCAGACTTTTGGGTGGATGCATCTCATCTTGGGAGCCACAGACTTAAGCTCCCGAAAACTCTTCGGCTAAGCACTACACAGCTAGCACCGCGAGACAATGGCGCCATGGCTGGCGATGACCTGAACTCTCTCTCCTGTCTCTCCGTCTCTCGTCTCTCCTACGCCGCTGGCTGATGGTGCCCACGATGCTTTCGCGCCGTGTCCTAGCAGAGCATCCGCGCCCTCGCCCAGCTCACCGAGGGGCGAACATCATGAAACTCAAATGTCTGTCCAGCGCGAACCTTTTTTTGCCTTTTTGCCGTCCAGCTGTCCGAGCATGTGTTTGTGTTGCCGTCCTTTCGAAGCGACTGGTTGATGATAGATGGTGACCCTAGCTTCTGCTGGAAGCGACTCGGCCGATATCCTCAGCTCCCTTCAGAACGCAATCGAATTCCGAGATGTAATAAAAGAAAAAAAATCTTCACGACCAATGTGTGCAGCAGAGGCCCGCCCGCCAACTGGCTACCAAGATGATTCCGTAGCCCCGCGTGCCGACGATGCCCACGATGTGCTGGCACGACCGCCGGCCAACCAAGCATCTGACGCTCGCCTGATGGCTCCGAAGGTTTCACCCTGACTAGACATGGGCCTAAAAGCCGTGCAGAGAAAGCTAAGCCTATGAGGCAAGGGTAAGAAAAAGCGACAACGGCAGCAGGGTTTCGACGTTCCGCAGCGACGATTCCGCTCTGGCAGCGGTACGGAGGAAGCAGCAGAAACTACTGCGGTAGCACTCGGTAGCTTCTGGCTTGGTGCTGTCCCCCACACAACAAAAGCCCTCTGACCCTGGTCGCAACCAAGCCGACGGCTCGCCCCAGTTGTTATTTTTACTTCATGGTGCGCGGGCATCGTGCCATGTGCGTCATGCCTCTTGGGAGCTGCACAGCCAAGCCTCACAGTCCGTCACACGCCCCTCGCGCTTGTTGTGTCGAGCGGGTGCCAGTAGCGGTACGCACAGTGGCAGCAGAGCGGCAGCAGCACCACTCCCACATCGTCGGAGTGGTACTTGGGGATGTCGGCCTCATGTTCTGATGAGGCATCATCATCCATCATCCATCACCCGCCCCCCTTCTCTCCACCAACCGCTTGCCTCTCTCTGATCGGCTCCGCCACGGCCTGCCGCGCTCGTCTCGTCGCTTCTTGACTCGGCTGGCCGTGACTCGACGTCGTTTTTTTGGCTCGATGCCCGTTGGCGAGAACCTTGAAGGAGCCGCGGGAGCCTCGGTCCTGCTTCCCTTGTTCCTTGTTCGGCGGCGGATCTTATGACTTCAAGCTGCTCAAACCAACTTGAAGTCATCGAGGCTGATCCCAGGCAGAGTTTAGGTTGAGTTTAAGACAAGGCGGCTCCAGCTCTGGAGTGTTGAAATCTGGTGTTCTGGAGCACGACGGACCTGCCGTAATGGTCCCGAGCTACCCAGTGCCAGGAAAAAGAAGGGCACCAAGTATCGATGACAAGAGTCGGCTCGTTAATTGAGTGCAGCCGCTAGAGCCTGGGACATGGGCCGTAAGACGTAGGGATTGTCAGGTTCCAATCGCCGTGATCGAACCGTCCTGACGCATCTCCGTACCTAGCCTCACGCTTACCAAAGTTCATGGAAGCACTGTACAGCCGCAGCGCCCCCACTGGACCGCCAACGGCACCGTCCACTGACCTGAAGGCCGAGTCGCACAGCGCGTGGCACCCCCTTGCACCCCCCTAGTCGCGGGACATGGCCGCTGGGGGGCCCTTTTGCAAGTAGCCCCAGGTAGCCGCAGCGTTCTGGCGCATTGTACCTGCTCTCCTGGCGGGCTGGGCCAGACCCCTAGCGGCCCCCCTCGGCGGACCAGCAGGGCCCCGTTCGCACCCAGAACTGGAAGGATCTAGCACCAGAGGTTCGGCGAGCAGGGTGACGGACGGATGGTTCAATGTTGGGCGATGCTACCTGGGGCTACCGGCAGGTACTTGCACGCGCTGTAGGCCGATGGCTGGCTGTGCTGCCCAGGGCTCTGCTAGGTTAGTGGTCCAGCAGCTGGAGCTGTGCTGTGCTGTGCTGTGCAGTGCTGCCCTGTCCGTCCGGGTGCCAGGCCCGTGAGCGAGCGTGAGCAGCCACTCACCACCGCACCTGCTCACTGTGTATTTAACTATCCCAACCCCCCAAACCTCTGCCTCTCTCCTTCTCCCCCGGTCTCACTCCAACCATCTCGACTCAACGCTCGCTCTCCCACATTCGCTCCCCAAAAAAACCCTCCTCTTAGGAAGTCCTCGTTGACTCCTGTCATTCGCTTTACCGGTGCTCTTTTTTTCTTTCATCCTCTTTCAACCCGCCCCTCCGCCGCAACCCTCCCCTTCCCCGGACTTCACCACTCAGCCCATCCCGAAGCCACCGGACGACGAAGAAACCTTGTTCCTGAACCCCAACGACAAGAATCTCGAATCTTTGCGCGGAACCTGTCGATTTAGCTTGCATCAGCTGGATCAGACTCGAGAGGCTTCGAATTGTGCAAAGGATTCGAACGGACGAGCAATTGCTGCGGCTTCCACCAGGCTTTACAAGGCTGAACCGAGTCGCCGTCAATGTCTCCTTGAAAAGAAAATTACATCACCACCACCACAATCGCTTTCCACAATCGCTACCAACAGAAAATTTCATAAACCAACAAAAAAGGACGACGTTTTTTTACGACCAACAATTACATTCCGTTTTAATTTTGAGGCTTAAGGAGAATTCATAACGCCATATTCGATCGCTACGTTTAATCAAGAGAAGAAACATATCCGTATACACACCGGGACACACGTGTGTATATCAGTATATGCTTTGTTAGGAGAAAAGGAAAACCAGACCCAAATTGCGCCCCATCGTCGCAACTGAACCAACGCTTGTTCTCAAGAGTGTTTGTGGCTCCAGTCATATAATAGTCACGAAACCCGCTCGCCCGGCCAAGCACAGCTCTTCCCAGCTGTGTTTTTAGGATCTTGTATGCGCTGTCTATGTTACTGTCTCAAAAGGAAGACGCCTTCTATGTGTTCCATTTTGCTGACCCGTGTATAGCACTCGTTCGTTACAGTTCCAATTACAATGGCTGGCCCTGGCGGTGGTCCTCCTCGTCGCAGGTTTGTCTCTCTTGCGCAGCCCGCTCTCCCTCTTCCTCACCTTTACCCGCTTCCCAGCCCCAGTGACGCATGAGCTGACCTTGTGATGATAGTCACACCAAGTCTCGCAAAGGCTGTGATACGTGGTACGTAGCAATGCTCCATCTTGCTGAATGGCAACTCCGGTCATCCCCCCAAGCATTGGTCTGACTATGATTTCAGCAAGCGTCGTCACATCCGCTGCGATGAGAGCTTCCCTCAATGGTAAGTTGTCGTGTGTCTTCTCGTGGATCTCTCCCCCTTTGCTAACACGCGTGACCAGCCGCAACTGCACCAAGCACAAGATCCGCTGCCCGTACAACGACGTGCAGGTTCCTGACGCAGGTCGCTCCGCCACGCCGGACAAGCCCGATCTCATGTGGACGCCCCAGATCGAGGCTGCTATCGGCGAGTGGCAGAGGACCGGCATGTTCCCCTTCCCGTCGCTGCGCATCTACCCAGCTCCCTCGCCGCACCAGTACTCCCTCGAGGACCTTCGGTTGATCTACCACGTCGCCTCCCTGCACTATCAGCTGATGACCCAGGAGGCCAACAACTTCACCTTGTGGACGCGCTACATCCCGACGTAAGTTTCTCCATGCAACAGCTATTCCGAGTTGCCTCAGTTGACGGCAAGCTTCCGCTGCTCGCGGTGACACACTGCCCAACACAGCGCTAACATGGTGTTTCCAGCCTGCTCAAGATCGGCGCGGAGTATCCCTTTGTGATGCACGCCCTGCTGGCCTTCTCTGCTATGCACATTGCCTTCTTGACCGATTGCCCTCTGGTCGGCTCCATGGCCTTTGAGCACCGGGGCAGGGCCTTCAACGGCTTGCACGAAGCCTTGAACTCCTTCTCTCGCGCTACGTCCGACGCCATCCTTGCGGCATCTCTTGTGCTGTCGTGGCAGGCGACCAGCTGGTAAGCATGACTCTTCCGCGGTTCTCAACCTCAATCGAACAGTCGAATGACTAACTGCGTTCCTCGTGATAGGCGCGACTGGACCAAACTCATGCAGGGAACTACGACGGTATGTAGCTGTTGGTTGATGATAATGAAGCCCAAGCACTCGATTGGTCCAATTCACTTGCTCCCCCTTTCCATACCTCCTTTATCTCCCACTTCCCGACAAATGCAGTGACTGACTTTGCTCGTCAGGTGATCGAAGCAATGGATGCATGGAAGCATGAGTCTGAGTTCACGGACTTCATCGCTGAGAGCAGCACGTTCCCGACGGCTCCTCCCTCCCCGGACCCTGAACGCCGGGCCTATCACCCCCAGAAGGACGACCTTGAGGCGTACCAGCGCACCCTGGACCAGGTCATGAAGGTGGAGGCTCACCTGAAGCACTTCAAGGAGGAGGCATGCCTCATGCAGATCCAGCACTTGATCGGCTTCCTCAAGGGCGTCCGCAAGATCAGCCCGACGCTTCCCATTGCCCAGCAGTTTGAGCGTCTCCAGCTCCTGAGGACCTGGCTCTTCTGGGTGCCGGTTAGCTTCATCCAGAACTACCAGTGCTCCCCGGCCTCCCTGGTTGCCATTGCCCACCTCTACACGGCGGCGCTGCTCATGGAGCGGCTCTTCCCCGAGATTGGCGCGGCCTACTTTGGCAGCTTGTCCATGGCCCCTATTGAGGAGATTGCCCGGCGGCTCATGTCCATGAACCTGGCGAGCAGCGTCAAGGGCTCGTACCAGACGCCGCTCACGCTCATGGAATACCCCCTCGACACCGTCAGGGAGTTCCGGTCGCGCATGGGCTGGATGAGCCCGCAGAGGACGCCTTCGTTCCCTACGTTCCATCCTCCCAACTTCCCCATTATGCGCGAGGAGGTGCCAATGGTCCCTGCGTCGGAGTCTTACACGCCTTACGGGAACCCTGCCTTCAGCTACAGCGCCGAGAGCATGCCAATGCTCAACAGCCCTACCCCGGCAGGCCCTCACGAGTCGCTCAGCCCGCTGGCCATTTCGTCTCCGTATCTGAGCCAGCCCTACCTGAACGTGCCGTCTCCGTCGTATGGAATCTCCTACAGCCCGGCGTCATCGACCTTTGAGGCGTCCCTCGCGTACAGCGATCCGGAGGAGTACGGTGGGTATGACATGCGAGGCTTCCAGTCCAGCCACTCGCCCATATTCGAGGATGCGCAAGGCAGCGGCTACCCCGTCGGGTTCGTTCTTCCCCAGCAGTCCGTGTGGATCTAGATCCCTCTAGATGGACCCCTAACACACTCGACTCTCCAACCCCGGCTCGAGGAAGCACAATCGGATTGACCGTTGCCACCCAGGAACTCCAGTACCTCAGCGTATCCGCCTCCAGATGGTTCGCCGATGGCGCCGTCTCTTGCGCCAGCTCTGTCTCCGTACCACCGCCAGGATTCGCCGGGCATGCTTCCCCTTCCCGAGTCTCCGGTTCCGCTGTCCAGCACACCGTATCACCACCACCACCGACACCGTCAAACTGGCTCGGTGTCTTCCGCGCCGCACCCTCCATCACCGCTGTCGCGCGTGCCACTGACTCCGAGCTTCTTGGAGTCTGATGGCAAGGGCAAGCAGCGGGCGATGTGATGGGCGAAACGCTGGCCCCTGTTGTTTTCCGTACTACACCTCCATCTTCTCCGCGATCGACTTGGTGCAGCTGGGATCTGCCTTCTCCTCCTCATCATCTTCTTCTTCTCTTGAACTCAACGCAGACGCAAATGTACGACACTCCTTAACACACTCGCTACTACCATGAAACATTACGATATACGGGCCTTGGTCATTCCTTTACTCGCTCTTGTCAGCACAGCCTGCCTGAGCACAACGCCTGAACGACACTCCTTTGAATCCTCGAGTTGACCTCGACCCAAGCAATCCTTTACGACACGAATAATCACCAACTACTAATAATGTATTATCTAATACGCGACGCTCCTTGCACGACACCACCCCCTCCAGCTTAATCGACATTCCTTTTACGAAGATACCCCCGAACTACGCACACACTCCTTTTACGAAATTACGTTATGACGAACATCAGGTCGACATAGATTCACTCCTTTTGGGATACACAAAAATGGTAACTGGGCGAATATCACACTGCATAGCGACTGTTTTTCTTTACCATTGTGCTGCTTGCTGCACATTTGTTGCGGATAGAAAATTGGCGTTTCGTTTTCCCGGCGTTCAAATGAACAATCGGTTGAGGACGTTTTGGATATTGGTGTTTAAACATGGTATTTGATTGAATTTTGATTGGAATCTTGTTTGGGAAAAAGGCCGCCGGCATATGATAGTGGTATGGAGAGTGGGCATAAAGTGCCCATGATGCCGAGAGCGCGCCAGGATTTGAGAGTGTATTTTTGTGAGTGTTTGTGAATAGCTGTCGTTCATCTACATGGCCGGCGCTTCAGAGGATGGTTGCGGATGATCCAAGCCCTGCCTTTGGCATCTTGGATGGGATTTAATATGATTCTGATTCCATGTGCCTGCGAACCTCTCCGGTGGATTCTCTGCTCACTGAAAGCATGTGCAGGTGACTGTGCCTACACACTGTTCGCGATATTGGTCCTCGTGCAAGGCAGTAAGCAGCTTACTTTTGTCCAGGCGTTTCACCTTCTTTCCTCGACTTCATCCATCAGACTGACCCGGTCTATTGGAAACATGTCAACAAGCCACGAGCTCAGATGACGCAACCCCCTGCCCTGACATTCTCCAGGGTCCCAAGTGTGATCAGGAACCAGAATTAACATGTCTGCCAACAATCGCCGGGCCACCCATTCCATCTTGGGGGAGGGGAGCGGGTGTGGCGGGTAAGCGCTTTCCCCTTGACGCTTGCATTATCTCTCTGCTGTCTACTATTTGCCCGGCTATATGCTAAAACCGTCGCAGGGTCTTTGTTTAATTTTCTTCTTTTCGACTAGCACGAACGTTTCTCTCCCGGGGAAGGAGATTCCATCTTCCTATCACAGAGGTTTACAGCTACATACATGTGCACGGCGCTGGACAGCCACCCCCCTGAACGAGGACTTTTTTCTGCCTCGATGTGTTTTGCCTCTTCCTGCAGGCAGGCTCCGTTTACTTGGAGCAGGGGCGACATCACGTTTTCGATGGGGGGAAGAAGATGGATGAACGGATAGAGAAGAAAAAGTTGCGTGGTACCCCTGCTTGGAACGGGGGAACGGTGAGGATGAGGGCCCCCCGGGTGTGATTCTTGCGAGGGTCGGCGTGCTTTTTGCCTCTTTGCTTGACTGGGGTTTGTCTCTCTTGTTTTGTCGTTTTTCCCCCAGATTGGGTTAGTGACCCGAGGAGGGATATATCGACTTGATATACTGATTTCACAGTCATTGGATCTACAAGGCGAAATGGGGTTGACAGTAACAAGGCCCCAGGGGGAAGGGAGGGCGATGAGACAACGAGGCGATGAACAATGAGCGGATAATCAACCGTTTCTGTACTTTTCGTACAAAGTAGGTCTAGTCCACGGGGGGTTTGGGAAAGGGAAGGGGGAGGGGTGAGAGAGGGAGGGGGCGCTTGTTTTTGTTGAATACGAGAAAAAAACTGGGAATTGGATGCTTGGATGGGATAATTCGGTGGCAGGGGTTTCGCCTCTTTTTTTTTTTTGCGGTGTTTTTTTTACGCGTGTGTGGTGATTGGATTGGGTCTCTGATGGGTTTGATTGATGTCATGTGCGTTGTGTTGTGCTGAATGGCAGTGCATGTGCTTAGAGAGGTGGTAGCCAGGAGAGGGAAGAGGGAAGGGTTGTGGTTATGGGAGAAGGAGGTTGATGGTGTATGTGAAGGAAGACCCTTTGTTCTGGTGTTAGAGATGAAATGTTATGCATTGAGAGGGAAGAGATGAAGAGCCTGTCAGTTGTGTCAAGTGAGTGGCCGTACTTGTTCGTTTCGGCGATTTACTCGTTCGAGCAGGCCCCGATGTCGAAGAGAAAGGGGAAAAGAACATTGTCACCAGCATCACCACCACTAACCACCGCTACCAGTATGAGTTGACAAGAGACAGACGACTTAATTCCATCTACTATTCTGGAATCAGTCTTTCCAAGGAAAGTAAATAGACACGAGTCGTTTTAAGCTTGAAAAGAGAACAAGGGGAAGAATAGAAGGGCAGCTGAAGCAAAAATACGAGGTCGATGTTATTTTTGGTTCCTTCTTTCGATGCAAATACGAGAAAGCGCCCATCTAGGTGGTTTTACGAGGGGAATAATAAGTAGCTAAAGGGAAGAAGAACAAATCTCATCCTTTCTTTCCATATTACTGGATTGCGACTTCTTCTTGCCGTTCTCTTGGTGTGAAAAATGAGTCGAGTGTTTCGTTGTTATGGTTTGAGTGGTGTCTGGGTGTTTTTTGGATCCCAGAAGTGAGTTTGATTTCTTCCCCTTTCCAGCACGAGCAATTCGAGAACTGAAAATCTCAGGGACAGGCATTAGACATCCTTTTCGAAAAATCAACTTTCAGAAGCCTCACTCGTCATCCAGGCCCCTTCAGCGCTATCAAACTTTCCGTCGTCCCAACTCCTCGCCCCCCCTATTCCTCTTCCCACGAAACCAAACCAAAAACAAAACATAATAACTCCGAGTTCGAACAACAACAGAACTATCTTACATACCATCGTACGACGCCGGAGCCCCCCGAGACCGAGCAAAAAAGTACACAAGAGTACCGCAAAGTACCTTTTCATGCCCGTATCATACCTACAGAACTGGGAAGCCCAAAAACACTCCCTAGCCGGAAACCACTTGCTGCATCCGTCGGAAGCTACATAATACATGACGAAGCATCCATGAAGCCATTATGGAAAGGTGCTCAAGCTTGACCTCCTCTTTTTCTTGCCAGATGGATCTGATCTACATGTCCGCAGTCTTGGCCTGAACAGAAAAGCCTCCGTTGATCCCAAGTCTTGGAGTTTTGTTGTTGTTTCTCCCTTCCGACTTCTTTCATCTAGATCTATACATGAACAACACATACTAACTCTCCACATATTTGGCCCATCGAACCCTTTCCTCCTAACATCTTCTCCAGCGGAAACTCGTTAGAACGTTGCCACACCTTCTTCGTCTTCTTCTAATTTGCCACAAGTCTGCGTCCCCTCCTCCCCCCTTTCCCCTTCTTCAGCCCATCGAATCATACAGCCCATGCCCCCTCATCCATCCAAATCACGCAAGTACTTGACTCATTGACGCTTTCTCACTCCGGTCTTCATCAGAGAAGCTCGTTGGAACCTCGGCATGCCCTTCTTCTTCCTCTTCATCTTCTTCTAAATCTCCGAATTTGCCACAGTCTACATCCTTCTAGACATCCCCCCTTTCTTCGGCCGTCGAATACCTACATGTGCCTTGGTACCTTACATACGCTCAACCTCCCCGTCTGGAAAACCCTCTCGGCGGCGAGGGTTCCCAACTAATTTGCTTGGAAGGATCAGGGCAACATACAAATATGCCACCAAGAGTTCTGTCAAGGGGCGGGATTGGAGCGTATATGCCCCAGCCCCCCCTTTCTCACAAAAAATTACCATAACTCAGTCTTGCTGATCGTGAAGAATAACAATGTCCCCAGCTTTTGCCCCTGGCGTGTACGATCGAGATTTGTTCACCAAAGTATTACGTAGCATTCTAAGGCCAGATTACCTGCCAAGTGGCCATCCTTGACCTAGCAAGTAGCCGGTAGCCACCCTCTAAGGTATGTATGGCCAACTTGGTAGAGAACCTAACTTACCTTAAATACCCTCGACAAAGAGAACAGGTACTCCAAATGGTCAATGGTTATCTATCGTACCGGTTATCCCAAGCCGATGCTTCCAACACAGAACTCTTCCAACTCTCACACACCTCTCCAAGTCATTGGTATTCCCTCCATTCAAGCCTTCCATATCTTTCAAAGTTCTGCCCCGGGACTCTCCGTCTCAAGTCTCTCAAGATCTTTCCATGCTCCAGACTTGAAGTAACTCTCATCAAACAAACTGCACATTCAAAACATCCAAACATAATGCCGTAACACCCCCATGGTAAAACACACATCTCATAGCATAGAAACTTCTCAACTATATTCAAGCTTCCAACAGCAAATACACTGCATCCCTTTTTTCCGTTTTGTTCCTCTTCCCGCGCTATCTTATCAACACAAAACTTGAGCAATCCTTCAACCAACTTCCATGCCACGCCTAAATACACAATGTACCTCCAATATACAGATATCAAACCTCGCTGCGTGGCCCAAACAGGGGGATATAAACGTAGATAGACCACGCTGAACATAAAAGAACTAATACAGATAAATGCGGTATGCATGCTTCTTTCGAGATAAAACAACTCGACGGATAAATTTCAATCGCTTCAAGCGGGTGTATAATCAGAACATCGGGACCCAATTCATCTCGACATGGGGGTTCTCCCGTCACCTCAAGTAGTAAGAACCTCCTGATGAACCAGCCGCAACACCCACCCAGCCTCGGCTACGCTCGCAAACTGAAAGCACCACTTCTTGATATTTCCACCCGTGGCCCCATTCGCCGGAACACCGCCAACGACACCATCGCCGCTCTTGACCTCTTCCCACACGCCGCAGACGATGCCTCGGCTGCCCATCGGCGTAAAGCACCCGCTCCCCAGGACGGCATCCAGCACAACAATCGACGGCTCGGAGCTCTTCTTGGGCGCAGTCGTCACCGTGACGCGCTTCTCGAGGCCGTGGTCTGCCCGCAGAGCCTGGCGCCAACCAGGAGGTGGTCGCCGGATTTGCAGGTTGCAGTTGCCGTAGTCTTCCCACTTGGCCGGCGACACGAGGAGGTGGAGGCGGATGCGAATGTTGTCAGTGCCAAAGTTGGCCGGCGGCACCTCGCCGCTGTTGTCCACGCTGACGGACGGTGATCGAGGCGAGCCCCATCCTGACGAAGAGCCTGTCGTGTACAGGCTGTTGTTGGCGCTTCCACCCCGGCCGCCACGCTTGTCGACGGATGATCGCGCCAGGTTGAATGACAGGTTTCCAACAAGAGTGAGTTTCTTGAGGAAGCTCGAGGCAGACAGCGTCGATGACGGCGTGGTGCTTGCGCCATCAAAGTGCTGCGACTGCGGCGCCCTCACCGAGCTGCGGTAGCTGTTCTTCCTACCAAACCAGCTACGGCGACTGCTCTTGTCGCCCTCGTCGGGGGGAGCCTGTCGCTCCCCAAAGCTCCTGAATCGTGCCTCGTTCTCCAGCTGGATAAACTTTTGATTGTTGAGGCGCGCGTGGTGGACGGCCGTGTAGAGAGTGTAGCAGTCGGGGCCGTTCAAGCACCGAAACCGAAAGTTGCCTCCTTGGTAGACCGGCGCCAGCTTGCTATGGGGTTGCATTGACGATCTGATTTCCAGATCTACGGCGGTGCTTTGTCGAATCAGGACCAGAGGCGTGAGATCCAACGCGACGATGGGACGGTCGTCGAGCTGAGTGTAGTTGCTGTCCCGGAAAGCAAACGCTTCAATGAGACCATCGGTAACCATGATCGAGCAGTGGTCAGGGTGAACGTCTTTCCACGTGCCCTTGTCAGACCACCTGGAAACGGTTGCGAGGCATCGTCCCGATCTGGCAATGCTACCGTCCTCCTCTGATGGCTTCCGTCCATGAAGACCGGCTTGGGAGGCAGAGTTGGACGGCGTCAAACTCACCTCAGAGGCAGGAGTGTTTGAAGGAGCGTACGAGGGTGCGTACGAGGGCCTTCTCCGGTCTTCCTCTTTGATGCTGTAGCCAAGCTCAGTCTGAGGGATATCGAGACTCTCCATTTCCTCATCCGATGACTCGGACTCGGACTCGGTCCCAGATACATCCTCTCCCTCTGACTCCGTTTCCTCGCTTTCTTCCACAATCGAGGAGACAGCAGAAGAAGACAGGCCTGAGGCAGACGAGACCTCAGAAGGCAAATACTCATGCTTGAGAGGAGATGAGCCTCTTCGCTTAAGCCTGTCATTGGCATGCAGGTCGATCGGCGGCTTGAGCAATGACTGAGACTTGGGTGACTGCTGCTGCTGCTGCTGCTGCTGCTGCTGCTGCTGCTGCTGCTGCTGCTGCTGAGGGGTGGGGCTAAGTGTTCGATGAACTGGTGGTCGTGGTGGCGGCGCGTCATTGTGGTAGATGATGGGAATTTTCCTTGAAGCAGATGGCTCTGACTTGCCGGGAGGTACTGGGGCAGCTCGTGTAGGCGTAGGTGGCGTCGTGAGACCGCTGTCAGAGTCGTCGTGGTCGGTGACGTCGGACCGGGTAGTCACGCTCAGCATGCTCTGGACGCCAACGGGCACATCCGGCAGTCTACCTGGAGAGTCGGAGCCCAGCTCAGATTCTTCAAGGACACTGGGCTCGGGCTGCCTGGGCGGAACGGGCGAAGAAGGCAAGATGTCAAGCCAGTCCAGAATCTGCTCCTCCTCATCCGCCCACAGATTGAGCAGCTCGTGCCACGGCTTTCCATTATGGTTACCACGGACCATGACGACCAGGTCTAGCTTTCCATCTCCAGCGCGAGCAGAGACGAGGGACATGGAAATTGGCGGGAAGAGGAGGTACGACCGCCGACCGTCTCCGACCTCTCGGATGAGCAGATCCCCCTTATCCTCGGGGCGGCTCTGATTGTCACGGTGCACCAACTCCACCTGACATTCGAGTCTTTGGCCGTTGGAGTGGGTGAGGTCAAGCGAGAAGATGTCCTTGGCACTAACTTGACGGGAGGGGGTGATGGTGACGGATTTGAGAGGACCAAGGGTTCTTAGGTCTCGCACTCTGGAGGTATCCGTGTTGACGGCTTCTTCGTCAATGATCCTCGCAACCTCCTCTCTATGGCGTTGACGAGCCTTTTCTTGCAAGGCCTCGAAATCCTTGACTAGCTGGTTGGTGTCGGGAGAGGCAACCATTTGGTCCACGCAAACGATCAGCCGGGCCAGCTGTTTAATACGAAGAAGGGGCCTCTTCAAGAGATAGGCGACGGCCACGCGCTCTCCCTGGGCATTGATGAGATCGCCGTTCGCGTTCCTTGGCAGTGCGTTGAGTAGGGAGTCGTCCTCGTCTGCCGAACCTCGCCGTGGCGCTAGATTAACAATCAGGTCTTGAAAGCCCAGTCTCCAGACGCTCAGGTAGTTGTTGTAAATGGGGACAACGCCGTGGGCCCAGTTAGCCATCCGGCGGATGTCGTTCAGGGGAGCCTTGTCGTGCGCCATCTTGAGCTTCTCGAGCACAACTCCCATGTTGACGACCGATTTGGACGTGACGTCGACCTTGGCCTTGGGAGAGGCGGCTCCAAAGAGTTCAGAGGCGGGAGTGGAGTCGCTCACAACATGAGACAGAAGCACGGGTATCACGCCGTCAACCAGCGTTTTGAGCTCTCGTCGGAACAGGTTCTCGTCGTCGGCAAATTCTTTGAGCAAGTCATCCGCGGTTACGTTGTTGGACAAGCCGCGCGCTTTCCGGAGGCTCGGCCTCGATCTGTTGCTCTTGATTCGTTGGGGAACATTGGCATCGTCGGGCAGTGAGAGGACCGACACAAGGTCAGAATGCTTCGTTAGCCTTCTCTTGAGGCCTGAGCCTTGTCGCTGGGGAGTCTTCGGGTCCGTCGACTTTGAGACCGTCGTCGAGCGGGTGAGAGTAGATCGGCTCACATCCGACTCGGTTTCCGAATGGCTGACGCTAGAGCCCTCGGAGAGAATCGTTGATAGTTCATGATGACCGTTTGTAGGGGGTCGGAGGCGTGGTCCAGCGATATGCGGTGCGCCCCTTGATGAGCTGTGGACTGATGAGCTGTGGACGGACGAGTCCCGGTCCGCGCTTGATCGAGTGTCTGTCGTGACCCAGCTGCTCAAGTCAGAATTGGATTGCATGTATTTGGAATCGGCTTCGGTTCCCGTCTCGTCGTCATCCAGCTCGTCATCGTCAGATGCGAACCGCCGCTCTTCGTGACTCTGGTAGCTCTTGATGGGCTTCGCAAGGTTTGCGGACTCTCCTTGAAAGGCCTCCTTCAGAGCACCGAGGAACGGCCGTCGTGTGCTACCTGATCTGGACGAGGAGGGCAAGGAGTCCCTCGTTGCGCTCCTCCTCTTTAGATCCGACGATGAGTTCCTCTTTCCAGAATCTCTACTCGTTCGTGACCCTGATTTTGGGCTCGATGCATTAGCACTCTTCGTCGTCTCTTCCGAGTGCGTTGTCTCCACACTGGAAGTAAGGTTGGACGATAGATCAGAGGTAACATTGGACACTACGCGCGAATCAGAGGCCATTGACGTCCTTGTCTCCGCCGAGGGCTTTCTCCTGTGTGTGGGCTCTCTGGACGTAGACGCTCTGTGGGAGTTTTCTTTTGATACAGTTTCCCTTGATGCAGTCTTTTTTGGAGTCGTCTCCCGGCTCTCCCGAGTCTCCCTTGATTTAGTGTCCCGTGTGGTCTCTTTCGGCTTCATCTCTCGTATGGTCTCTTTCGGTCTCATATCTCGAGTCGTCTCCCGCATAGTATCTCTAGGTGCAGCCTCTCCTATCGTGACATCATCATCTTCATCGTCTTCGTCGGAAAGCTCAGACGAGAGCGAAGGGGGCCGGTTACTCTTCTCGTAGGGCTCAACCGTATTGTTGAGCCATTTCTCAATGCTCGGGGGGTTGTTGGGGGTCGCATGCCTCGATGGCTCATTGATCTCCTGGATAATCTTCTTGCCCTCCTCCACCACCTTCTTCAACACGTTCGGCATGGCTTTCAAGCTCGTTGCGCGGTCAAGCTTGGTACGCTTCTGCTGCTTCGGCTTGCTCTTCGGAGGACCCCTCAGGGGCAGATCCAACTCACTAAAGGCGGAGTGCCCAAAGGGAATTTCTCCAGGAATGTCAGCCAGGGACTTATTAGACAAGGAGGTGCCCAGGTCTGAGTCTGGAATATGAGGAGGCTGCTTGGCGCGGGAGCCGACGTCTGCCGACTTGGCTCTAGTAGTGGGACGCTTCGTTCCGCTCCTCTTGACGCCGCCCGGTCGAGGTTTCGGTCGAGGTTCCTCAGCAGCAGGCACGTCGAGATATGAGTCCAGCTCATCCGCACCGTCTGACATTGACAGTTGGGTTGCTTCCTCGACAGCCTTGATCAAGTCGAGAATCGTTTCCTTCTTAGAGGCGGTACCACCTGCAGTTTTGCTTCGCTGTCGCGTCGGCCTTGGAGTTCCGGGTTCTGATTTGGGAGCGGCCACCGGTTTCACTCGGATGCCGTCATCGCGAGGCGCTGGTGAGATCTTCATGCGCGTAATGCGAATGCCGTCGCTGGACTCCTTAACCTCCACAGGCTTCACCCTGATACCGTCATCCTGAGGGGCGGCAGGTGGAGGTTTTGTGGGCGTAACGCGGATACCGTCGTCAGCTGGAGCCTTAATCGGCGCAACCCGAATACCGTCATCGTCCGCAGCCTTTTTTGGCGTGACTCGAATTCCGTCGTCATCGGGTTCCTTCTTCCGTATCGGCCGTACTCGAATGCCATCATTGTCAGTCATGCTGGGCTTGAGTGGTTTCCTCGCTGTGACCTCGGTTGCCGTTTCGCCGTCGTCACTGTCCTCCTCTTCTTCCTCATCCTCGGAGGCTGACAGGTCTGAGGATAGGGAGCCCTTCAGACTCTTTGGGGGCGGCGTCACGACCTTTTCAGCCCACGCTTTGACCTTGCTCTGAAAGGACGGGTTGGGCACTGCTCGAAAGACAAAGCCGTTTGGAATGCGGGCCGGGGTGGGGTTGCTCGTCTTCCTGGGACGCGGCGACACCTTTCGAACGGACGGCTTCCGGACCTTGGGCTTGACCCAGTTGTCGTCGCTGACGATCCTCTTCTTAGGAGGAGGCGGGACCTCCTTGTCCTTCTTGTCCGCCTCGGATTTTGGGCCGCCGTTGTGGACAATGGCCTTGGGCGGCCTCCTCTTCTGCCTCATCTTGATGCGCACCCGGTCCTCCTCCGTGACGCTCTCCATCTCCTCTCCGGCAAAGGCGACATCTGTCGGCTCCGTGGCCGCATCGTCCGGGTTGGCATCCGCCATGGCAGCCGCATTGGCCTTTTGCCACGTCTTGACCCTGTCCTTGACACCGCTCGGCGGCTGCAGCTTGCGCACCTGGTGCTGTCTCATCTCGTGGCGAGCCTCCGCCTTGACCGTATCCATGCTCTGCCGCCGCTTGCGCTCCGCCTCCAGCCTCGCCGGCGAGGGCCGCCCTAGCAGAAAGTCGTGCAGGAGACTCGGGGGCTCCGTCTTCTTGGTGGTGTTGGCCCGCGGCCGGCCTCCCGGGGCTGCCGCCGGGGCAGACTTGGGGGACTCTCCAGGAGTCTTTTTGCCGTCTGTCGCGCTGCCATCTTTGGAGCTGCCGGATTTGGAGTTTTCGGAGACGTTGGTCGGCGTCGTGGGATTGGGCGGCGCGCTACTATCGCCAGGGGCTTCGTTTGACGAGGTCATGGTCTCTTGAGTCGCTATCGCTACCTCGTCAGTTCAGCAGCCACAAAGGCAAGCACATAAGAAATGGATTGGCGCGTCGCAAAGACAAAGGCCACACCAAGGCGTGCGGCCGGAGCTGATGGCGAGAGCTACGGCTGGACGCAGCGACGGGAACAGAGCTGCCCGAGCTGCCCGAAATGCTCAAGCTCAAGCTCGTTCGCAATCGCTCGTCCCAGATGATGCGGTCGTACGCGAAGGACAGAGACGAGAGCAAAGACACGGGGTTTCTGCTGCGCTACTCACCTCATTGGAGCAGCATGCTGTGCGCATCGGGGAGTCGAGGATGTTTGCTGTCAGTCTCGCGTTGGCCGTCGCACATCCCAAGCTCGAGAGCTCTCCCAGGCCGGCTGCGGCCTCGGCTGTGCACTGTCCGTCAACAACAGCAGCAACAAAGGCGCTAGCTCGTGTCTGTTTGCTTGTAGGAGCCGTTGGCGAGGAGAGTAAAGCAGATGGAAGGTGGGAATGGTCAACAGGGCGTTTGCCGTGATTTCGCGTCAGCTGGGCCGGAATAGGGAGAGTGAGATTGGAGCTTGGAGACTGGAGAACGAGCGACGGCGGGACGGAGATGGTGACGTTTAGACTTGATGACGGGGAGCGATGGAGGAGCTGTGCTGTGTAAGGCCTTGCACAGTGCAGAAGGGCTTCCAAATCGTTCGATTGAGCTGCCCGCTCCGGAGTTGGGGTTGATGTGATGGGTTCAAGTCAAGGCTGGGACCGAGTACCGAATATCTGCACAGCCGCTGTCATCAGAGCTTCAACCTGCTTCTTTTGCCCGTCTTTTGCGTCTGCTGGGTGCCCCAGTAACCAGCGGGGTCCTGTAATAAACACAAGCAAGTTGGAGATATTGGGTGCAATCTTAGCACAGCTGGGGCGCCACTGGGAAGGGAAGGCTGGGACAGCCACCGAGAGGCCCGAGCCGTGGCCAATCAGGCGCGGACGTTATTTTCGTCTGGCTGTGGCTTGTCCGAGCGTGCGGCTGGCTAGTCCTGATCCGGCTGGTCGGTCGTTGAATTAGAGGGGCTGTGGCTGACGAAAGGATCCATGGCCAAATCTCCTTCTTCCCTGCTTTGTTGTTTTGCGTCAACACAGGCGGCATCGTCCTAGTGAAGTGAGGTCGAACACCGGGAGCTTGGAACCGCATGGGCGTTATCGATATTGACTTTCGGATCTTTGATCTTGAATTATCGTGTTGTTTATTTTGTTGATCGGCGCCTCTTTTTGGCCGCTCTTGGACACGATGCGGAGTTCGTGGGCCTCTGCTGGACTCCAACTCCGTGGTACGTCCTACCAAACTACATACATACCCTGCAATCTGATTCACATCGCAACTCGAACTTCTTCGCGAGTTTGGCTCATTAGGGGATCCTGCTGGTTCCATTACCGTATGCTTGCATCACTCGTCCATGATCTCATATGCTGCAGCACGTGCTGTGTGGTTCATCGTCATGCGCAATGCCGAATGTACAGAACCTACTAGTTCGCTATGCACTCGTATCCCGGCGGCTTCAACGTCCACCAAGTGACAAAAGCGACCGATAACTGCTGGGTAGCATATCAAGTGAGTCTCTTGCTATGAGAGCAAATCTTCGCCCTCACCAGCATTGCAAACATCTACCCAGTACTTATCAATCAAGGTTCTATCTAGCGGCCCATCTCGTATGATATGCCTACTCTCTTTCTTCCCCATCAAACCAACCCATGCCCACCCAGCGCTCTCATCCAAGATTACTTGACCTCGTTGTAATCAGTGACCCTCATAACGGCCTCCATCACGACCGCCGGTTCAAACTGCATCGGCATGTCACAAGATGCGCCCAGACTCTCCACTACTCCATTACAGTTGGACTAATACTCGTACACCCTCCTGCTTCTCCACCCCTTCTCTCACATGGAAGCTGATTCCAACGTCTCCGTTCACATCAAGCACCCTCCACATTGATGCATACTGCCTGCAGTAGTGAGTAGATATCTGCATAACATCACTTCTAACGCCCTCCTTTCACTTCCATCAAACATAAAATACTACACCACTTCTTCCGCTGCCATCTTTCAACTTCTACAACATCAGATACAGCCCGAACAACACGCTCCTTATCGCCATCCCGCCTCACCCGCAACCCGAGTCGTACATACGTATCGTATGTCTCGCCTCCAGATGATATCACCTCCACCTCCAAAACAACCCATACGTACTAATACTACATCCAAGCAACTGCCCAAGTCCAGCTGATCACCTTCTCACACACACTCAGCCCCCACCACCACCACCACCACCATCACCACCCACACACATCCAATAAAGCGCGCAACTCCGCGATTCCCAATTCCCAATGACAGGCCACGCCAAGGCCAAATGAGCCATTCTGAGCTGCCCTTTCCCAATCCATCATCAGTCTTATGCGCGCGCGCAAGTCATGTAATACGCAACATACATACATACATCCATATGCAAGTGCCGCTTATCGGCTGGCCCTACAGATGCATTCGTTGACGCTCTCGCCGTTGTGGCGATAAGCTTTGTCGCTGATGGACCGAGTTCGAGAAAGAGAGGGAGCGCTTCATGGATGTAGTTGTCGCTCCAGTAGAGCATCCGCATTCGTATCCGATATGGTGTAGTGGCTAACATCGCTCGCTCTCAACTTCTGGTTGAAGCACCGAGCAGCCCTGGGTTCGATTCCCAGTATCGGAGAATTTCAATTTTTTTGGTGCCCTCCGCCTTCCGGCACTTACACACATCACTTACACGGCCTTTTCTATTTCTCCATTCTTTTTCGTTTCTTTTTTCCCCCTTTTGTATACCAGTTGTTTTGAAACATGGCAAAGTGGTAAAGTAGAGAGTCAATTTGGTAGTAATTACGATAAAGAACACAATTCCTCTGTGAAAACCAAGAGTACTGTCAGAAAGCTGCCTCCAACTCCAACTGATGATGGCCCACCCCCGTTGGTATAATCGCGAAACAGATAAACCAAACAAGAAAGATGCACAAATCTGGTCCGGTGCTGATTAGGTCAACCACCTCCACCTTACCATTGAGAGACCCAGCTCACAATGGCCCCCTGAAGAGAAAGCCCAAATGAAGATGTGCAGACGTAGAAGCGCGCCCTGTCATCCACACCGTGATGCGGAAAGCAACCTCCAACCGCCGGACCGAAAACGCCTTGAAATGCTATGCCCGATAACAGACATCGAAGACTGGATACGAAAAAAGAGCAAAAACAAAAGACCTCTCCAACCGCCCAGAAAATACAAGGTAAACAAACCCCTTGAACGCCACCTAATGCAAATGATGGTTCGACTAAGTGAAAATGCAGCCCCCCCTTCACTCCTGCTTCTCGGGAAGCACGAAACGAACCTTCTTCTTCGGTTTCGCAGCCTTGACATCCACCCCCGCGTCGCTCATGAGCTCCTCCTCGGTCTCTTCTTCAATGGACCACACGTCGGGGCTGGGCTCCCGCCACAGGTGATTGTCCCGCATGACGCGAGCAGACAGGCTCCTCGTCTGCTGGCGCGTCGGTCCACGGCTGTTGGTGCGGCCTCGGCCCCTGCTGTGATGACCCGACGACGACGGCGTCGACGGCGCGGGGACGGACATGGAGCCTCCCTGCGGGTAGAGAAAGGTGTTGTTGGAGAGGCCGAACATGGGGCTCTTTGCGCGGAAGCGGAGGCCCTCGACGGCGAGGTCGCGCAGGGGAGAGAGCATAAAGGACGACGGCGACGAGGGCGAGAAACGAATGTAGTCCTCGTCGTCGTCGTCGTCGGTGGTGAGCGCGTCCGAGTCGTACTCGGGCGACGCCGGACGCCGCAAGGCGCAGTCGGGCTTGCGGAGGCCCTCGAGCGAGGAAGGGCTGACGCTGCGGACGGCCTCGCGGGGCTGGCTGGCGTCCTCGATGCCGGCGTCAAAGTCCATCATGTCGACGTCCAGGTCCATCTCGTCGACGTCGTCGTCGTCCGCGGGGATGGGGGTGAGGAAGTAGGTGAGCGGGTTGTCGTCAATGTCCTCGAGCAGCGGCCGGGGCTCGCGGGGCTCGAAGCCGGACCTCTTCTTGATGGACATGGCGGGCGACAGGCGGAGCTGAGTCGGCGGCCAGGATTCTCGGCGACAGGAGAAGGTGAAGTCCATGAGCATTGTCTTGTTTCTTCTCCGCCGGTCTAGGGGGGGAAGAAAATTGGGAAAAAAAAGGTGGTGGGATGGCGGGTTGTGGTTTATGTAGGGCTGACGTGTAAGTGCAAGGCAGACAGGCAGACAGGACTTTGTTGATGTTGATGCCTTCAGGCCGCCAACTTGTGAGAAATGACTCAGACGGAGAGAGCAATTATGACAAACTATGTCTCCTGAGCCCTAGACCATGGGTTTTCCCCCTTGCAGAACTCGCGCACGAGTGAGCGAACGTATGGAGAAGAGGGAGGAAAGAGGTCGGTGGCTTGACGGCACCTCCGACGGGGGTTAGTGCTGAGCAGCCTCAGCACGAGAAGAGGTGAGAGAAAGAGAGGGATGGTGTCCTTCACGCGAAACCAAAGAAGCTTGTCCAGAATATCAAGAAAAGAAGCCTGAGAATGCCTGGCGGCGAGGCAGCGAGATGACCCTGCAGATATATACCAGCGGGCAAGCCGACTGGACCACCAACAAAGCTGTGCTCTAATCTGATCACCACCCACCCACACACACACCCCATCCCCTCTTTTTATTTCCCTCTTTTCCCACAAGACAAGAAAGGATAAGAGAAGAAAGCATGGAGAAGAATGGGTTAGCCAAGAGCTTGTGCCTTCGAAAAGACGTCACCACTTGCAGCCCGTGATAGCCCCATCTCATCCATTTACAGCCCACCCAGAGGGAAAATCAAGACAAGGGGTGGTTGGAGGGGGAGAGGAAGAGGGAGGGGTGGGCACGGCTCCCGGCTTGGCCTTGTGAGCCCACTGCCTTTGACAAGGTCATGGAGAATGGGCAATTCAGCAGCAGCTGCGCCCACGTGAAGTGCGGCCCATTATGGGAGGGGGGGCATGGGCGTTCTGGGGCTTGGGTTGCACCGAGTGTGACAGCCGAGAGCCGTCTACATCACTTGTCACAAAGAATTACCAGGGAAGGGCCAAGTTTTCATGTTTCTTGTATTATCCAATGCAAGTCATGAGAGAGCGTGAGAAAGCGTGAGTGAGTGACAACAGACTGGGCGATGGATGTACCGGGAAGGTCATGGAAGAGGGCTGAAAGGCGGGCTGCGGTTTGTGTGTGTTGTGCGGCCTCTGGCCCGTTCTGTTATGGTGTGAGTGAGGAGAGCGCTGGTATTTTCACTCGTTTCCCGCCTATGGGCAAATAGTCTCGAGCCATGGGCCCCTCGCATTCCAACAAGGCGGTTGGCAATTATCGAAGAGGCGGCGAATGAGCGGCCCGTGTCAGATCAGACAAAGACGCGGGGGAGCGAGAAAGAGAGAGAGAGAGAGACATGATCCACTAAGCAGATCATGCAAGGGTTTGTGGGTTCGGAGGAGGAGGCTCGTCTTGGCTGGTGGTGGTTGTTTGTTCTACGCCACATGTTCCATGTAAGCTGAGAGACTACAGGCAACTAGTAGAGCACACCCACCAAGACACCCAAGAAAGACCAGATGACTCCTTTTTGGCTGGAGCCAGTGCTCTGATAGTAGTATCATGAACGTACTAGATGGATGCTTACCAGGGCCAGAAGTGAGGCGTGATGATGCTCGTCTCGTCTCTTTCTCCATAGCTCAGGTCATGCTGCCCCCCTCCTCAGATCATGGAAGTGCCCATCTGCATGATTTACATGCTGTTATTTCCTTTCCGATCGAGCAGACAAACGGTCGATCGGGCGAGATGCAAGGGCTGGGGAAAATGCAAAACACATTCTTTTTTTTCGGGATCAGAAATCTTGGGTAGGTGAACTTATGCACGGTTCCTTGCATGAAGGAAGTTTTTTCGTTGTTGCTGCCGACTGGGTGGTTGAATGAGTGAAGCGGTGTGCATATCACCGCGTCGATCAGGCTACTACTACTCCCACTATCGTTTTGTTATCAGATTGATAGTCTACTACATATACCTATTTCGAGAATACATGTAAAGGAATAGCCAAAGGATAAAAATGGAACGAGGCGCTACGGCGCGGCGCGGGAGCTTCGGCTGGCTGTTGGATCATCGTCATCACTCTCATGCTCGTACCAAGACCGTCAATAGGTAAGTGACAAGTATCCGTCATACTAACCATTGCTACGAGGTACCATGTTGGCAGGCAAACGCAACAAGAGCCGTGATCTCATCTCGACCGAGACAGACTGCCCGCTTCCGGAAGCTCATCTCACACACACAACAAAGGGTCACTCACACAAACGCCCTTGATTTAGAAAACGAAGCTTATACGAGTTCACGATGGCGCGCACACACACACAGAGCTTCTTCCTCAGCTATGGTGGGTCGGATTGCCTGCGTCTGCTGATTTGCTCCAGCCTCCCCCCTCCTCCTCCTCAGCGACGAATGCGGCCGTACGAGCTGAGCACGAATGGCGGCGATCCGACTCACCGTTCGTTGTTGGAGAGCCAAGGGAGGGAGGGAGGGAGGGGGGTGGTTGGTCAGTCAGCTCACGTTTTCACCGCCCTCTCATGGTTATGCATCGTCGTTTGTTTTAGTGCGGGCAACAAAGAGTAGACAAAGTAGGATTTGCGCGCAACGGCGAGTTTCCGTTGCTGAAGGACGCGTGGAATTTGGAGGCGATGCATTCGAGAAGTATTCCAGAGCGGGTTGCCACGCGCTCCCGATATAGAAGGCGGTTGCCCGGCCTGTAAGATGAAAGACGTCGTTCACATAGTAGTCAAAGTACATGGATATGGCATCTTATCGTCTTTGCATCCAAGGACGAAGAAAGACGCGCATGTTGATTGCGATCATGGAGAAGAAAAAGTCTTCTTCTCATGAGACCGTTCACTTGACGCCATAATAGTACGAGTAGGTAGCTAATGTTAGTAGTAGGTATCCAATGGGGACATGGGGCAAGCATTGGAAAATTCACTCAAGGAGCAGTATCCTCTGCGTCATAGAACCGGGCGAGACGTCTGTTACTTGAGCGTCTTCTGGCATTCTGGAGGACACGCAGCATGGGAGGCATGACCAGCGTGAAGAAAACGGTCGAGCCATGAGTCGTGATCATGCCAGATCATGGCGCTTGGATCGTCGATTCCTGTCTCTGTAAGAGTCACGGACCAGTAGTAGAAGCGGTAATAGCACGCAGCCCAAAAAAGCGTCCTCATTATATTGCCCATCCTCCCATTTGGGATCCTAGCCTAGGTAGCAACACAGAAGAGAGGAAAAGCCATCACGGCAGACAATGTCTCTGCTGCGTCTCGGCCCGCATTGATGCTAAGCCCTCGTCGTGACCCAAGCACCTGATGCCCTCATTCTGTCTCCTTGCCCTCATCCATTCTTGGTGCTTGCTTACATGATCGATCAAAGCTTGATGAACCCCTGCTCGACTTGCTGCAGCTTCTTCCCTTGCTCAAGCCTGCCGATGACGCCATGTCGGCCATCGGAAACCATTGTCAGCGGAGTCGAATTGTCGCAGTTCGGGGCCTGAATCTCCGATCAATCCCAAGGTACGGAGGAGCGTTGCCGACCACGGGCATCTGGCTTGTATGAATCTTACTGTTAAGGTTGATTCTACACTAGATGCAGGCGCTTGGAAGGAAATTCGTCGGTATATAGATGCAATAGGCAGCCCTTGCTTCACGCTTCATTTTTTTCTTCCTACAATTTGTTATCCTTCAGTGAAGCTTCGCGCACTGAAAAGCCACGATGCTCTCGCCCGTGTCAGATTGCGGCTTGCGCGGCACTTGCGTGTCTCTCGCGGTCCAGGCCATTTAGACCAACAAGCGTCCCCTTCAGCTTGTCCTGTCTCGCTTGGCATCATCGGATATTATTCCGTCGTCTTGCTCTGCTCTGCTCTAATATCTGCTCTCTCTGTCTGGAGAGTCAATGAGCCGCTGTTCACGGCAGTAGTATTACGATTCGCACAACCGCCTGTAACACAAGATTCCTTGCTCGCCATCGTCTTGCGCTGCATCCCGCCACTTCGGCCAGAGCTGTGCCGGAGAGCAGCCCTGCATCGTCTTGGCATGCAGAAGCCGGGTCTGATTCAGCCACCAAAAACATCACGGAGCATCGAGTCCTCGCAACCTGACCCGTGTAACCCCCCGGGTGGCCTATCAGATCCGTCCATGTCCTCTGCTAACACCAGCCAGCAGAGGCATGTCCATGTACTACTAGTATCATGACTACCGAAAGAATGCAACTCCGATCAAGGGCACGATTCCTCCGTACCAGGACGCATTTGATAAGGTAGTACTAGTAGTAGTCCGTCACCCCACGGAATCAAACCAGTGACCCTGGCCGCCCTGCCCTGCCCTGCCTTACGTAGCCCGCTGTCGTAGTCCCTGTCGGCACCAGAAAGAAAACAGCAACGCGGCTCCGAGCGCCAAGCAGAAGCAGCCTGCACTCGGCCTTTTTTTCCCTCGCATTCGTCTCGTTTTCCACACTCGGCCCGCACGGGATTTGGGGCCCTCTCAACTAGTCCATATTCCTCCATCGTTGGGCGGCTTCTGTCAAACGGCCGGCCGATTACATAAAGGTCGCGAGAGCTCCCTCCGGATCTCCGGATGATGGACGTCGCACTCCAGCCCAAGCGAATTGTTGACTTCATAGACTACGGGAACCGGCCAGGTATATATCCCCAGTTACTTGGACCATCGTAGCGATCAGAACTCCGCTCCTCAATCTTTTTTCTCTCTTTCTCTCTATTCCTACGCTTCTCTCTTGTTCCCGTGGCGAGTCCGCACTCCGCACAACCTCGATAGCTTCTGCCCCCACGTGAAGAATCCGGCCTTCCGATTGCTCACCTCATTGTTGATTCTCCTGCCAGCTTCGGGTTCGCTCAATTCCAGGGAAACGGGGCACTTTTCAGGATAACGAAGATTGGATCAAACCAAGTTTAAAAGGAACAAGACTCGCCCCGGCTGTGCGACGCATCCCGTGGTCGCAGCCGAGATGCAGAGCCGGCCAGCGGTCTTCCCGCCAGCAATGTTCCGCTCCGTCGTCATCGTCGTCCTGGTAATCTGCGGCCTGGTCGC